GGTTCTGGAGCGGCTCCGTCAGGACGGCGTCAGTCTACTATTAGTAGCCCCGTTTTGGCCGGCACGAGTGTGGTTCTCGGATTTAATATCGCTCTGAGGAGAGACCTGCTGTCCCAGGCGGAGGGCCGGCTCTTTCACCCGCACCCCGCCCTGTGGCAGCTATGGGTCTGGCCCCTGAGGGGGCGCAGTTCCTAGAGGCGGGCCTGACGCCAGGAGCAGTCGAGACGCTGCTCAGCTCCAGAGCCCCGTCCACGAGAAGGATGTACTGCCTGAAGTGGAATGTGTTAAAATGCCACCTGGTGTAGAGAACGGGCGGTGGACCCAGTTATCTGCTCAGTAATTCTGATACTGGAGTTCTCCAGCACCGTTTCTCTGCGGGCCTCTCCCCGTCCACGCTCAAAGTATATGTGGCTGCCATTGAAGCATTTCACGCCCCTCTGAGTGATGGGCCCTTGGGGAGGCTTCCACTGGTCGTGTGCTTCCTCCGTGGAGCCTGGAGGATGAGACCCGTGACTCGTTCCAGGGTTCCCACCTGGGACCTGGCAGTGGTTCTCGAAGCGCTGGCTGAGGCCCCCTTCGAACCCCTGGAGTCTACTGAGGCCAAGCACCTGACCCTTAAGATGGCCTTCTCCTCACTATCACCTCTCTGAGGAGGGTGGGGGATCTCCAGGCACTTTCAGTTTCTCCCCGATGCCTGGAGATTTTCCTGGGGAGGGTCAGGGCCATCCTGCACCCTTGTCCAGGCTATGTCTCTAAGGTTCTGGCCAGATTAGCAGGGTCCACGGTGCTGCAGGCGTTTCATCCCCCACCTCATGTGATGACGGAGGACGGGAGACTTCATCTGCTCTGCGCTGTCAGAGCTCTGAGTATTTACACACTGAAGTCTTCCCGGTGGAGGAAAGCAAACCAGTTGCTGGTGTGTTTCGGGTCCCCCAAGGCTGGGCTCCCCGCTTCTAAACACACCATCAGCAACTGGATCGTTCAGACTATTTCCCTGGCCTATCAGGTGCACGGTTTGCCTTCACCTATGGCCGTAAGGGCGCACTCTACTCGAGGCATGGCGGCTTCTGGGGCCCTCCTCGCAGGTGCGTTGCTCCAGGATTTGTGTGACGCGGCTGGCTGGGCCAATCCTCACACTTTCATTCGGTTTTACAGTCTGGACCTTCCTTCTGCACCCGGCACCTGTGCGCTCTCCTCCTAGTCGTGCCGTCAGGTTCTGCACGCTGGGGGCAGGTGGGGTTTCAGCGCGGCCTAAGTGGGTATCCCGTTCCCATAGTGTTGTTACCGACGCAGTTCGAGTTCCCTCGAGTTCGAGTTCCCTCGAAGGGGAACGTCTCGGGTTACGTATGTAACCCTTGTTCCCCGAGAAGGGGAACGAGACACTGCGTCGGTCCGCCACACCTCACCCCGCCTGGAGTGCCTTGCTTCATAGAAAAGGGCTAATGTGTCCTGTGTGCCAGCGTGCTTATATACCCCTCCGGTTACGCCGTCACACACTACCGTTCTAGCAACACCAATAGGATTGGAGTAGTTTCATTCATAGTTCAGCCCTGCCACGCCCAGAGGCGTTCCCATAGTGTCGTCACCGACGCAGTGTCTTATTCCCCTTTTCGGGGAACAAGGGTTACATACGTAACCCGAGACGTTCTACTGTCCAGGTGTGAGTCTGTGGGCTTATGAACAGGATGGTGCTGAAAAAGAGCTGCTCCTGGCGAGGCCTTCCAGGTTAAATAAAAGTTTTTTAAAAAAAAGAATTGCAAAACCAGAAAACACTGCCGGTCAGACAGAAACCAACTGATTTATTATCCATTGATAACTCAGTGGAGCCTGTTAAAACACACTTACCACCAAACCTATAGCAGGCATTTATCTCATTGTCAGAAGATGTAGAGAGGTTAAGTTGTAATTGTGTCAAGGAAGTACAATTACAAAATATCTTTTTTTAGTGTGTCAGGTTATTTTCCCCCAATAGTTCTGTGAGAAATTGTTCTCTCCTTCTCTAGAGGATTTATAGCATGTGACAGAGAACGAAATGAATGTTTCTTTGACTTTGACTAATATTTAGGGAAGTCTACTGATTTTGCACATCAAAGTTGGTTTACTACTATTCTATCTCAGAAACCCTCCTGACTAATGTCATTAGGGTTGTCTCAGCTTGAGTTGAGAGCGTGAGACTAACTTTTAACAAAAGATCTGCCTTTGCATGCAGTTTGAAAGATGAGGGGATTTACCAAGCAGTGAGGGATGTAATACTATAATATGCTCTCAAGTTGCATTATGGGAAATGGATGATGCAGCTTTTTTGGAGTTTAACACATACTAAGGACTAAAAGTTGAGTATGATTTTATGCAAGTACAATCCTAAATTGCAGGTCTTTTCTTTCTTCATTCCTTCTTTCTGTTTTGAGTTCCCTTCTAACCAAACTGTTAATGTGTCCAGGTTTATGAAATATCCCTTTCCTATTCCACTACAGAAACTTGATAAAATGTAATGTAACATGAACATTCTCATGGGTTCTGCTTTTGTTTCAGTTCAGCTCTGTTCACTTTGTTCCCGGAACTACTGAGGATGTAATAATAAATGCAAGTTCCAGAAATTTCAGGTTGCCATCAGCACTGTTGACTGTGATTAAGCTAGCAGATATGTTTGTACATCATAACAAGGATGACTACAAGAAAAAACAACAACAGTAACCACTGAATCTGTATCGAACAGGACAACCAATACTTTAACAAAGAAGAACAATGGAGAATGCAATTCAGAAAGAGTCAGTGAAAATGTGTACCAGAAGATTTTTTAGTGTCTGGCAGAAATGCAAATACAACACAAAGCCAAACAGTGCAGGGAAAACTTTAAAAGGATTATAGCAAGATTATAGAAAAATTATGGATCACAATGGATCTGGCGGAGAAAATCACCAAGTGATTCGACACACTGGATTTCACAGACAAGCTAGTGCCAGCCCCAGTTATGATGTATATCCTTTCGTCCCAATTTGTAAACGCTGTATACAGTGGACACGTATGGACGAAACTAGAACCAAAGCCTCAAAATGTTCTTAAAAGTTTAGGTTATGGGAATCCCTAGATTAAGGGATTAGCCACGCTAGAGGAGTGGCTCTGATGACAATGTTGGTCGGTCCACTACTTTGGGCCAGACTGAAATATCTCTCTCTCTAACTATTGGATGGATTGCCATGAAACTTTATACAGGCACTCATGGTCTCCAGAGGATGAATCCTACTGACTTTGGTGATCCCATAACTTTTCATGTAGAGCCATCCATCAGGTCAAAATTTCCATTTGTCCAATCCGTTTGTTTGAGCTCAAATACCTTAAAGACTAATGGCATTCCCACCGGCCTTAGCTGTACTTTGTGTTTAGCGCAAATTAGCAAATGTTAGCATACTAACAAGCCAAACTACAATGGGGAACTTGATAAACATCAGCATGTTATCATTATCATTGTGAGCATGTCAGAACATTGATGTTAGCGTTTAGCTCAAAGCTGTCTAAACAACCTCTCAGAGCTGTTAGCATGGCTGAAGACTGTCTAAAAGAGCTGTAAATTTAATCGTGTGTTTCTAATGCAGTCAGTGCGTAACTAACAGCCTCTGCTAATTGTGTGTGTGTGTGTGTGTTACTAACAGGCTGTACTGACATTGAGCGCACTGCGGCGCTTCTTAACTGGCAGCAACACAAACTTGTTCACATGGCAACACCTGGATCCTGCCCCCAGCAATGCTCGAGCCACACCGTACCCCATCGCCAATGGAGCAACAATAGTAACCACCAACCCCTATCAAGCCCCGCCCTTTACTGAAACCCTGGACCCCCAGAAACTCACACAGCAGAGACCCGTGGCTCCTGCCTTCTAGAGATAGACAGACAGTAAGAGGAGGTGTGAGTTGAACGATACTGCATACGACGCGGGCACGGACAACTTCCTGCCTTGCAGATTAGCGGCTTTTCAACCTCTCCTGGGATTGGTGGGATTTTGGGGTCATGTGATGTATGATCTATTTTCACCATGGCAACTGCTGGCTCAGCTTAGTTAGTTGTAACTCTCCGTACTGTCTTCTGTTCATGCACACACACTTACACACATATATTGACGCACGCAATCACAGCTGTAGTCACTCACACCTGGAAACAGATATTATACATGTACACCTGGAAACACATGTATATACACCTAGAAGCACACACACACGCACACACACACACACGCACACACACACACACACACACACACACACACACACACACACACATGCCTTGACTGCATGTTCATATGGTGAGGTGCAGATTAACAAAATGTAGATCAGTGATGATGCTCCATCTGCCTTATAAATGGAAACAAGGTCTTTAGTGAAGGAAATATGGAGGTAATATGGAGACAGTAAAGCTGTGCAGCGCAGTTTATCTTCTTCTGATTGCCTTCAGTCAGTCTGACCAATCAGAAGCCTCCCTGCAGACTTTTGGCCTCCCATTGGATGAAACTGAGACAGATAGGCAGCTTGACCAATAGGTTGTGAGGAAGCGAGAAAGGTGGCAGAACTTGCAGAAATTGGTACGTTTTCCTGGCAAGGAAATAAAGGCTTAATGCATTCTGAATGCTGTAGTGTTTTGATGTGAAATATTCATGTGATTAAATATTTTATTGTGATATGCTGAAGTGGTAAAATGAAAAATAAAATCTATTCACCACCACCACTACAAGAGCTGAGACTGCATTTGTTCACATCATCTTTAAATAATTTCTTCTTTGCAATTTGTGACAGGATGTGTTTTAGCATATTAATCAACATCTGCGGGAGTACCATAATTAGATAAGCTACTCGAGATATGTTGCATTCATCAGCAGCAGCTGTGTGTTAGCTTTATTTTTGGATTAAGCAGCTCACGTTGAAGGACTTCAACCCATCAAACTGTGTTTTTTTTAACCTCTTTATATAGGGGGAAAGGACAGATTTAGAAACAAGGTTATGGAGTCAAAGGAAAGTCAGACAGGAAGTGGTTTTATTCCAGCACTGTCCAATAATGTGACTGCAGGTGAGCTTCCTGTATATCATTCCCTGCTTTCATTCTGCAGGAGCTTTATATAATATTATGAACATTTGCATTTTCTGGAGTCATCATCATCAGCAGCAGCAGCAGCAGCATCAGCATCATCATCATCATAATCAACATCCTATTATGCTGACATCTTCATCCATCATCACCAGAACCAGATACATTGACATTCATATTCTGAGAAGAAAACTACAAATTCACATTTGTAGTTCTCATATCATCACTGTTAATAAAATATAATCTTTTTCTGGCTGAAATACTTGAATAAGCCCTTCTGAACAGCTGCTTCTGTCTAAATTTCACCTCGCACCCACAGTATATTCTCTTCAGACTTCAGGAGAGACAGGCAAGCTCCAGCTTCAGACAGCAGGGGGCAATCTAACTCTGCAGACCTCTGATAACATGCTTCAAACTCACCTGCCTCTGAACTACCTCTACCCTGAGAATACTAAGACAGAGAAAAGGAAAGTGGAGGGGGTGAGAAACTAAGCTGACTGAACATTCGAATGGGTGGGATCAGGAAAAAAGCGAGGTAGAAACTACTAAAGCCTAGGCCACACTACACGATTTTAACTCAGAGGATCTAAGCGCAAATTGATTTTTTTGACTGTCAGGGTTGGGTGGATTCAGGCGTGGGAGGTTTCTCAAACATCACAAAGATGCCCATGTTTGGTTGCAATCTGAGAATGATCAAGCAACTTCCAGTGGCAGTTTACCGTAGGTTAAGAGGTACAAAAAAATCAGTCATTAAAAAACAAAAACTCTGACTTAGAGATAAGATTCTTATTTTGCTTGACTTTTAAGAAGCTGCTGCACAAATCATTTTTTGGGGAGGAATAAGTCTCTAATGTGCCTGCACCAATCTATATAAGCGTGCAATTACAAATAAAGCATTTACATATAAAATTATCTTTTAGCTTTAGCTTTAAAGTTTCTCACTTAAAAATCATTTTCTTTTGTAAACATAAACTAATTTCTGCACAACAGAGCGAGAAATTGGGAAATTGTACTTAAAGGAAACAGTTCTGGCAAATCAATCAATTTTTAAGCAAAAATACAAAATAGTTGATGGTTCAGGCCTCTTAAATGTGGAGATTTGTAGCATTTCCATTATAACATGATGTGTGTAGTGAATTGAATATTTTTGGATAAGGATATTGGACTCATGGTGGGACAAAAAAAAGCTAGTTGAAGATGTCACCTTTAGAAATTATGATGAACCTTTTTCTATTCTTTCTGATATTTTATAGAAAGTAATTGAACTGTGTTGTTTCATTGTCATCATCACCATGTGCACATAAGCAGATCAGTCTGTAACTTAATCTGTACTGCACCTTTCGGGTAATTTTGTCTCGTACACTGACCGAGGCTGTGATGTGCAGGGAAAATAATAAAAATGAGGGAAGAAGGAGCAGAGCAAGCAAGGGGAAGGTTAGTGTTTGAGTAAATATAGCAGGAGAGTGAGTACTATGTCAGAACTAAAGCTAGGACTATGATAGAAGAAAAGGAAACGTCTTCTTGTGTGCATCTTTGAACACATACACACTCATACACATACAGTCAATAAGAGTTCTCACACACCCTGTGAAAATCTTGTGATTGAATGGGACGAGGCGACGGGTTGGGGCCCAAAACAGGTAACAAGTCTCCTTCCTGTTTTGGATTGCGGCTCCCGCCCCTCTCGTGTGCTTCAGCAGCACATCAGGCTCCTCCACTTAAGTATAGAATAACCAATTCAGCACCTTTATTTAGTCATCCACAGAACTTCCCTCTGGTTGATTAGGAGAGGGGGTTGTGGCGTCAAATGACATAGTCCGCCTTCTCAAATCAACACGGCTGTCCATCAGCTGGGTTGCCATAGTAACTGGCTCTTCTCCTGGTGGCGGGCTCATCCTCTGCTTCCTGTTCTTGCCCGACACTGGAGACACAGATTGGCTTAGGCGGCTCCTGTGCTCCTCGGGGCTTGGGGTAAGGTGTCTGCTTTTGTGTGAGGAGCTGGGAGGAAGTTGTGTGTGTGAGTGTGTGTGAACAGAACTGTTAATACGTCTGACTTCCTCGTCGGTGTCGTCTAACTGGGCGCTGGGGTCGGAGCTGGGGTGGGGGCTGGAGCTACAAAGCTGCGCTGATAAGGTGGATTCAACACTGGGGACCTTCAGACTGGACAGGCTCTGAGGGCTGACAGGCCTCTTCTCGACATCTGTTTCTGGCGGCAAGCCACAGATGGCCTGGTCACGTACATGTTCTTGTCCAGTGGTTTCACTGTAGCTCCGGCTGTGGCTCCTGCATGAGATGACCCTCTGGGGGTGTTTATATTTCAGTGTGTGTACACTGGACGATCGCTGGCGTGGTGGCGTGGAAGAGATGGCGGGCACAGTGAGGTTAGGCTCTGCCAGATCGTCAGCTGAATCGCTCTGATCCAAAGAGTCGCAGCGCACAGCCTTCTGCAGACACAAACACACATAGATGACACAAGCTTTATTATGTGTTAGGTTGTGCAATAAAATCATTTTGAAAATATTTTATAAAAAATACACTATGCGATAACTTGGCATCAGCAGAAGATAAACATTAATGCTAACAGATATTCTACTTTGCTGCTTTTAGGATATACTTTTCCTGTCATTCCAGGCAACAATTTGTTTTCATTCATTTCCATACAGTATGAAAATCAATTAGCAGACTCCATCCATTGCAAGTATCATAGTAGCCTATCTGCTGCATAAATCCTTATGAAAGCTACTTTATCACTGTGTATTAATTAGTGATAGACCAATTAACTGGGACAATATCTGGCATTTGAGATCATCAGCAAAGGCTGATTCCAGCAGTCATGAGGCCGCTATACATAAAATGTCTGCGGACACATCTGCAGGCAGCCTTGTCAGTGTGGCTGCTGTGGAACGATGTTGATGCTCCCCCTTTTGAGTTTTGAGAAGGTGGTTAAAAAGTTAGTTTCCAGCCCTAAATTTTCTTACCATCATCCTTTCAAAATGTAAACACCTTTCTCCTATATGACAGCAAATCTAAAACTATTACTAAATAGTGTAAAATATATATTGTTATACTGTAGGAATACTGCAGTTGAATGACATCACTTCTGACAAACGCTCCACCCCACTCTTCCTTAAATACAAGTCACATTCAGAAATCTACAGAATAACCCCACATATTTCATTATTTAATAAAAAATCTGTCTAAAACAACACATTACTGGCGAAGATACCCATGTATATTAAATTGTACTCTGCATGAAATAAAAATGGGACTTTTCTTTGTTTTGATAAAAAAGACAGATATATATGTAGATAGACAGATATATATATATATATTATTTTATTTTTTCTCTGTATCATCGTGGAAGACCGAATGCAGGAACCTTCTCAGGTCAAACAGTTCTCTTTTATCAGCCAAACAAAAACAGTCCTTCAACCTCACAGGTGTCCCCCACAACAACAACTCTATCTACAATCTTCACCTTTCCACCAGGGTCCAGGACCCTTTCTGAGATAGTAATAGCATTGAATGTAATTGAATTATTATTTAAAGAAGAAGACCCTTTGTTTAACCAGAAATAGTTGTTAAATTGCTCTATTCAAAGCCACCAGACTTGCTTTTAAAGTCACAAAAAACCCCCACCAACGGTAACGTTACAATTACTGTTTCTGTCAAAGGCGTCTGGTTCCCTGCATTTGGTCTTCCACGACGAAAAAGAGAATAAATTTCTTCATCGGAAAAATGGTACTGAATACGGTTACAGTATTTTGGCCTGTACATTTTAAGTACGCAATTTGTATAATGAGCAAAATATTGTATAAACAATTGTGTGAGAAGAGAAGAGAAGAGAAGAGAAGAGAAGAGAAGAGAAGAGAAGAGAAGAGAAGAGAAGAGAAGAGAAGAGAAGAGAAGAGAAGAGAGATAATAACGCACCTGTCTCCGTAACTGTCTGCTGGCAGTGTGAAAGGATGCTGGTCTCTTTAGGGCTGAACTATCTGGAACGTAGGAGGGACTCAGCTTGTTTCTGTCTAAGCTGTCTTCAGGACTGAGCCAATGTGAAGGATGTTTGCTGGCACTGTGGGTGGGACTCACTCTGAGTGAGGGATGTCTGTCTATACTGTGGCTGTACATGAGTTTAGGTCTGTCTGTGCTGTGGTCTGGATTAAGCCTGTATCCGTCCATACTGTGAGTAGAGCTGAGTCTGTGTCTGTTTATTCGATGGGCCGGGCTGAACTTGTATCCATCAATGCTGTGAGCTGAGTTGAGTCTGTGTCTGTTTATTCTGTGAGCCGGACTAAGCCTGTGTTTCTCTATACTGTCAGCTGGACTGAGTCTGTGTAGGGAGTGTCTGTCGATGCTCTGAGAGGTGCTGAGGCAGATCTTTGGCCTCAAGCTGCGGCCTGACCCCAGTGAAGCGTGGCTGATGGCAGGCAGAGCTCCAGGAACCTGCAGCAGTGAGCCACCTCCACTGGAGCCCAGAGATGACATGGAGCCTGCAGAAAATGTGGCAAAGATAATATGGACACACTGATGAAAAGAAATCCCCATCAGCTCTTCTATTTTAGAAACTTCACCTTCTTACAATATCCTATGTTAATGAGTATTTTTGTCTAATATATGATACAAGAGGTAAAGTTACAAGATCATTTAATTTCTTGTTTCAAATTAATACACAGATTTACTCTTACTCAACAGGACAGTCTTCATATGATTAGCAGACGTCAATTTTCTATAAGTTAAATGGGTCCTATCTTAGGGAGCTCTTAACAAGTATACCAAAGCCAATAAACAAGTATTTTCTGTCTATCCAAAGCCTGATTTAATTTATTCCTGTGCAATAGACCTCCATCTTTGTGCAAAAACCCATGAATGAACCACAGTGTTTTACTATGTGACATGTTTCTTTATCCCTGTGAATATAAATACCATAATTAATTTTGCGTCAATCCCACAAAGCTGCCTTTCTTGGCCAGATTATTTCTCAACAGGCTTCTTCCTGGGTGAACAAAGGTTAAGAAAAAAATAACACACGCCTTCCTGCTGCTGTAAATACTCACTGGAACAACCAATATGTATTAATCCACAACTGAAAATAGACCCAACTGTGCTACGGCCCATCAGACTCCATTATGAAAACTGTAATTTAACCTTGCAGATCATCGTAAAACACACTTTATTCAAACTGGACAGATTCTCACAGAAACTTTTTTTCTTAGTGTTTTCACTATTCCAACAATTACCAGCTCTGGTTTGGTTGGAAAAAAATAGATAGATTGATTTAAATTACTGAAATATTCTGGTTCTACTCTTCATCTAGCAGCCTCGAAACGGGCTGCAACGACTGCCGGGGATGAATGCACCAGTCAAACTATGCCCACTAAAACTGCTTGTTTTTTCCACTGACAGGCTCAGATTGTTATTCTAATTGTCTGACAACATTATGGAAAGGATCACTACAGAGACAGACCTTTTTGTTATGTGACAAATAAATCTACTCTCGCTCGCCACTAGATTGAAAACCCCCCCAATAATTTTACCGTGTAGGTCATTTAAGTACACTGAAACTCAACAGAAACAAAATAAAACTAATCAACAGTCTTTGTCTTTCCATTGTTCCAACAATCACCAACTCTGGTTTGGTCAAAATAAATCCTTAATTCACTGCGTTAGATGACAAAAGAAACAGCCGTTATATCACTCTCCACACAAACACTTTCACATGGAGAGACTCCCATGCACCAACATCCACGTGCGGCCAGAACGTCTGTATAAATAAAGCACAGACAGGCCAGGCTAACAACACAGACAGATGGAGTGTGATGTCATTCTCTGCTCAGACACCATTTCGCCACTATATGTTTACATTTCTGCTATATTAATGTTCAGAATCTCATATACAGAACCTTCAAAAAAACAGAATAGGCCTGCGGAGCTGAGTGCCACAGACAGGGTAGGTAAGTTGGAAGTACTAAGAGACGGACCCATTGCTGTTTTTTGGTTGTTTCATGGGATTTGTTCATTATAATAAACATGTATCCAGGGAAGGTTAAAATCAAGGGCAACTGGACTTGATTGAAGATACTTGAAGACATTTCGCCTCTCTTCCAAAAGGCTTCTTCAGTTCTTCTTCAGAACTGAAGAAGCCTTTAAACCAAGTATAGGTGCCCTTGATTTTAACAGTTAACTATGACCTGGATGACTGAGAATCTTCCCAGACAATAAAAATGTAACTTTCAATTTATTTTCTTAATATATTCTATCTTATATTATTAGGTATTTAAAAGTTTTCCCCAGTGTGATGTCACAAGCATAAAAACGTAAAAAAGTGTCAATCATGTGTTTCGCAAGGATACACTAGTCCTACCAATTTGTCACCAATATTAAAAAAACATCCCTCTTAATAAAGAGGTATTTTTTAGGTCTACAATAACAGTGCCTCTCATTGTACCACATCACATCTAAACTGCCTTATATGCTATTTATGGGAGCAATAATCTTTACAGCAATCAGTTAGTGGTTATAGCACAGTAAAACATGTCCCTTAATTTAATTGGCTATATAGAACCAAATTACCCGAGTAGCTGTAGCTGGAGTGGGCCTCATAGCCAATGGGAGGAAAAGGGGAGCATCTGAGTGGCTGAACGTAGCTGTCGCTGGGGAGAGACAGCATGCGTCCCATGCTCAGCAGGTTGCCATGGGAACACTCCTCATCCTCAACCTGCACCTGCCACATGAGATCATCACCGCTGTCATCGTTATTGTCACCTCCACTCCATTCTCTCTCACAATATGAACATGCACCCTGTCCGTTACCTGGGCAGGTGTGTCCGCATTTGGCCACAGGTCTCCACCCACGGATGCAGTGCTGAGGCGTCGGTTGGCCTCCTCCCTCTCTTTCATCTCTTCCCTCTCCCTCTTCTCCTCCCTCTCCTCCATCTCCTCCAGCTGTGCCTCCTTGTTGCTGTCCTCCAGGTGCTTCATCAGAACGGCCACGACCACGTTGACCAGCACAAACTGAGCCGTGAGGACGAAGGTGACGAAGTACACGGGAGAGATCAGGGGCAGGTAGGTGAGGCAGTGCCGATCCTGTGGGCGACACTCTCGCAACGTGTCCTGGACGACGAGGGTAGGAGGACAGGATAGAGATTATGAAGCATTGAAGAAAACTCATAAGAGATAAAGGGATTTAAGGTGATCTATCAATGCACAACTTTGTGCTTCCTCTCTTCTCCAACAGAATTGTTCTGAGTGTGAAAAAACCTTCAGCCTGTCACAGAAGAATAAAACACTCTAAACCTCTAGTGTCAGCAGCTCTTAGTCTGTCATAGAAACAGTGATATTCTCCCTGCTTAATGCAACTCCTGCCTCGTAACCGATGCTTTGGGACACACTCTTATGCACAGACACAAACATGGACTTGTCATCTATCCATCTTCTTAAAACCTCCCACTGAGAAAAGGAAGAAAAATAACCTTCATAATCCCATTCCAGTTGTCCCCGGTAGACACCCTGAAGAGTGTGAGGAAAGCCATGCCAAAGTTGTCAAAGGTAGCGTGGCGACTAAGACCCTCACATGGGTTCTCTTCTGAGCACTCTGAAAGAGGATGAAAAAAGGAAAAGAGTATTAAAGGCAGCAAGTGTGAGAGAGGAAGGCGAGGGGAGAGAAGAAAGAGAATTGTGTGTAGATTAGAGCACTGATTCTAAATTGACATAGTTAATGTATATAACGCAACAAAATGTATGCATGTTACGTAAACCACGGATATCTCACCAGTGTTGGCTGACACACCGATTTATATGCATGCACACACTCACGTGCTCGCCCGCACACTCCCATACCCCACCCACACAAACACACGCACACACACTAACCCACACACATGCATGCACGTACACGCACACACACACTAACCCAGTTTTCCAAAGAGCTCAACTCCCAGAGCTGCATAGATGAAGAACAGCAACATGAAGAGCAGACCCAGATTCCCCACCTAGACAGACATATTACACACACACACACAGATATATACAGTGTATGATACACACAGAAAAAAAAGACATGTACAGTATACATAGAGAGAGACGGAAACAGATAGAAAGGAGCCATAGACAGAGAAGCCTTATTGCACTACAGCTTAAAAACTATTAGGAGCCATCATGATACCTGGAGTTGAATCATATCTCAGATTTTGTTAGCCTGGATCCAGTCCTTATGAATTACAAACGTGCCTGTTTTAATTACTAAGCAATTCACAGGGACTTGGTTTGCCTTCCCACATGGAAGGGGGTCTGGACATGTCCAAATAGATGACGGATAAACTTATTGATGAAACGCAGGGGCAAAAGCAGCCGGACACCACTGTAAAAACCTGGTTTTAATCCCCAGCGGTGATCTGTCACTTTAAAGACAACTGCCATTTCTCTAGGGTGGGAAGGCAGTGAAGGATCATGATATTTTGTTCCTCTAGAGATTCTTAGTGGTTTGTTGGAACACCTGCGTAGACTAACATGGGTTCTAGGGGGGACAGTGCACTGTGATTTTGTAATTAATCATTCACATTTGGGAGGAAAAGTTAAAATGGATTTAATTTAGCTGCATTTCAGGAACAAACTGTTTATAAATGTCTACTTGCCCTGCATTCCTGTTTGTTCTTATTTACCGTGCACCACCCACATTCCCTCTTTCTCTCTCTACTCTCTCATTTCTGGAAGGGACCCTTGAGGGTCCACGGAGCCCAGGGGCTGTGATAGATCCCTCCTGAAGTCTTCAACTTCCCTTCCTGAAGAGTCACACTAGAGGCTGTAGGCACAGCAGTGCTTTGAGTTAAATGCTAATGTCAATGTGCTCACACATGATAACAAGGTGATATTTAGCAGTAACGTTTACCATGTTCACCAACTTTGTTTAGCATGTTGGCATGTTAACATTTGCTTGATAGCATTTAACACAAAGTGTAGCTGAGGCTGATGAGAATGTCATTGTTCTATGTCAACTAAGTGGAACTTGGACATAAACCAAGGTATTGGACAAATAAAAATGTTGATCGGACGATGGCGCTCCCTTAAAAGTTAAGGGATCACAGTTTTTACAATTGATCCTGATGGGGACATGAATGTGTAAACCAAATTTAATGGCAATCCACCCAATAGTAACAGATTTTTTTACACTACACAAATGTAAACCTCGTGGAGGCACTAGAGGTAAAGGCAGGGCATCACCAAAGTCATTACAATCCATCTTCTTGGGACCACGAATATCCAATAGTTGAGATATGTCTGTCTGGACAAAAGTGGAGGTCAGATCAACAAACATTGCCATGCCAGGAGCCAGCATCTTAAATCTGCAATGACACTGCATCAAAAAACGCAGCAAGTGCCATTGTAGAGCGCTACAGCAAAATAAACTTAAACCAGGCCTCATAAATCGCTCTTGCCGCATCGCAGAGGAATGCCACACCAGGAATGCTTCAGTCAATGTGCAACTGTCTGTACCTGGTACTATATTTGGTTGTGTGTAGTTTGTAGCATTGGGCTAGCTTTACTCTTCAGCTCACCAGCATTGGCACAGAGGAGAAAAAATCTGCTGCTGTGATAACAAATTTTACAAAGCTGCCTAAGAGGAGAATAAATTACTGTGTGCTGTCTTTGTGTGTGATAAGCTTTCAGACTGGACTTTCAGATTCATATTTTTATCTTCTCACAGATACCCAGTAGCAAAACAATCGCACTAAAGCAGCTGTGAAGTTATGATTTAACTGGTGATTTATAAGCCACACAGATAAATTTAAGAACCAGCAATTAGCCTTTAGCTAAACATGAAGATGTCTTCATGCTTGTTTGGTGGTTATGTGGTTTTATTAGAGTAACACTGAACAGTCTTTTGGGGGAATCAGCGATAGTTAGTGTTAGGTGGGGGGGGGGGGCATCCCTGATAAAACACTAAATGAAAAGTCGTCTGCAATTCTTCAGATCTGGAAACCAGGCTAGCAGTTAAAGAGACATTTGATATTTTACAGCATCAGTGTTTCGTCTTACCTGAGGCAGAGCTTGAATCACTGTGTCCAACAGCGCTCTCATTCCTGTAGCCATCTTCAGCAGCTTCAACACTGAAACATTGTAATGTGTAAGCTCTTATCAGCCCACATATCATCATGTTTGTCTGCTTTTGTGTTTTGTGTCACTGTGTGTGTACCTCTTGTTATCCTTAGGACTCTCATGATGCGTATGATGGTGGGGTTGATGGGGAGGGAGGCATTCAGGTCTATTTCCTCCAGTGTGATTCCCATAATGGACATCAACACAATGGCGAGGTCTAGCTGGTTCCATCTTGAAACACAAACACACACACACACACAATTTCAATTTCCCTAAGGATGAAGCTGTATGTTTGTGAGTGTCTTTGTATTAATGTGAGAGCTTAGATACCTCTCTTTGAAAAAGCGGCGCAGGCCAAAAGCAATGAGCTTGAGAATGGCCTCGATGACAAAAACCACCGTGAAGACGTAATTGCAGTACTTCAGTATCTCCTCGAGGTACTGCAGGACACACAAACACAGTCCCACACTTCAAAAACCCACTGTAGCTGTACTGTACCACCGCATGCAGCTTCATTACTATGGTTCTAGGGCAGGTGGTGGAAGGTGTTGCCATGGTTACCTGAGGCTGGTTGTAGTGCTCCATGCTCATGGTGAGGAGGTTTGTGAAGATGATGATGGTGATGAAGAGATCCATGTAGTGGCTGGTGCACACGGTGTGGATGGATCGACGCAATGGGGAGTAGTCAGCGTAATATGGCTTCTCCTGGGCCTCTGCGTCTCACACACACACACACACACACACGGTCATTAAAATGCTTTTGAAAGAAAAATATGATAAGGCCTATGAAGTCACTGATGAAGTGGGTGCCAAGTGGCACACTGCTGTGTGTGTGAGTGTGCATATGTGTGTGAGTGTGTACAGACTAAAAGTGCCACCTAAGGAATTCAGTCCTATCCATCATGCACACACACTCACACACAAACACGCACAAACACACACACACACACTCCATGGCACCTCAAGGTGTCTTTGGGCAAAAACTCTCGCTGTCTGCTGCCAGACAGTTAACTGACTAAGAGGAAAGAACTACTATTTGAGATTACACTGCAGAGAAGGACGAAGTGAGACAGAAATGAGGTAGAGCAAGAGAGAGAAGAGAAAGAGAGTGTGTGCAAGTGCTAAGTGTGTTTCTGAGCATAATATAGGCAGAAATGATACATGTACTCACATCCAGTATGTATGCAGAAGTGGTTCATCATGTCTCTGTGTGCATGTGTGTGTGTGTGTGTGTGTGTGTGTGTGTGTGTGTGTAACATTACATCTACAATGTATGGCCAAAAGTATGTGGTTGCTCTAATGATGTTCCTGACGCAGGAAATATTAATGCTACAATGACAGTTTAAACAATAGTTAAACAATAGTGTGCTTTCAACTTTGTGGCAACAATTTAGCAAAGACCATTTCGTGTTTCAACACGACAATGTCCTGGTGCACAAAGCCAGGTCCATAAATGGTTTCAGGTTGGTGTGAAAGAACTTGCTCAGAGCCCTGATCTCAACATCATCCAACGCTTTTGGGATGAACTGGAACTCTCATTGAGATTTGGGCCTTATCGCCCAACATCAGTGCCAGACCTCACTAATCCTGGGACACCGCTGGATGAATATGCATCGCATTCCTGTTGCACCACGGCTCCGTCACGTGTCCATGATGTTTTCACATGTCATTGGAGGCATTTCAGAGGTGGAGAGTCTTTAAATTGTCTGTTTGAGATAAGTTTGACTTACATTTTTTGTGTTTTACAAGCATCATTTGTACTACATACTTTTTTTGTTTTAAATTCTTTACACAGCACGCAATCTTATCATTATTTTGTATCTATATTGTATTAGCAGAAGGAAAACTGTAACATTCCTTCTCTTCATTCACAGGTATCGCAGAAGCAGTGACATAAACAAACTAGTAAACTAGTTTGCCACATGTCTATGAAGACAAAGTCTTCTAATGTACACATCGTTACATCAAATTCATGTCAATTAAATAGTAAATGAAGGCATTTAGGCAACATTTAAAGAAGACCCACACACAAGGGGCGAGTGAGATGCCCTGGTTATAGCTGCATTGGACATTGACACCCTGGTTAGAATGGCTGAGTATTGTCTCCAGCAGCGAGAATGAATTGTAAACTGGGAGCAATGGGAGTTGTGGCTAAATGAAAGCAAATACCTGCAGCCAGGGGAAGAGGAGTGGATGCTGTTATGGAAGCATATTAATGCCAATGATTTTGAAATGCCATGTTCACCAATCACATATGGGTGTAATGTTCAGGTGTTCACATACTTTTGGCCATTTACTGTATGTCTCGCACTACCCTCCACCCTCCCCCTGCTATCTCACTTCTCCTCCTCTTTTCCAACCGTCTTTGTCGCTTCTCCTCCCTCAGCCGTGCCTCCTCCTCCTCCTGCTGCTGCCGACACTTGTGAAAGTTTTCCACCACCACGCCCACAAACATGTTGAGCACAAAGAAGCTGACGATGAGGAGGAAAGAGATGAAAAACAGCAGCATCCAAGGGTTGTTGTTTCTTATTGGCTGCAGAGAGACAGGGAGAGAAAATGGAAGATGAAAGGAGGAGAGGTAGCACGGGGACAAGAAGGAAAAAGAGGAGGACCAAAGAGTGACGGGAGAGGGTGAAGAGGAGAAAGCATAAACAAGAAGACAATGTAAATCCTGAGTCAGCACTGAAACTGCAAGGACTGTCAACTCACATCTATTTATCCGTCTGCCTTTTTTTCTTCCCTTACACCTCCCCTCTCTCCTGAAATATTTCCCCTTTCTACTTGAAGCAGACTAGATCAGATGGGGCCTGAGACTGACACAAAACAGAACCAAAACACAGTGAAATACAATATACACTGGCTGAATGGTTTACAGGTCTTGTATTCATTTTTTACTTCCCACAACCTCTCTCTTCCTCTGTGCATGTATGTGTGTGTGTGTGTGTGTGTGTGTGTGTGTGTGTGTGTGTGTGTGTGTGTGTGTGTGTGTGTGTTTCTTCACCTGCTGGTCTACTCCGACAGCATCCAGGCCATCATACATGATGCTGACCCAACCATCTTTACATGACAGCACAAACAGTGACATCAGCGCCTGGAAGAGTGAGACACATATAAATCAGCGACATGCTAGCAATCAGTATTTAAGAGCAAGTATCAGTCCTGGATGTGTGTGTGTGAGAGTGTGTGTGACAAACCTGTCCCAGGTTGTCAAAGTTGTATTTCCGTCTAACCCAGCGGTATCCTGTCTCCAGACACTGGGTTTTATTGGTGATGTTACTCACATTGCGCCCGTCACAGTAGAAGAACTTCCCTTTAAACAACTGCATACACAGACAGATGTGTGCACACAGATGAAAACATAACAGTGAGGCAAAGCTTCACAGAGTGATGTATTGGTGTATAGTAAATTACTCCGCGAGTGTCTACAGGTTTGTTGTACATTACTTCTAAGAGTACCATCTGGTCCAGTCTGCCTCACAGTTATTACAGTTTACAGTGTTCTCATTAGAAGATAATTCAGTGGCAGTATGTTTTTGAGAAATATATGCCTGCGTGTAAATGAATGCTTCAGCATTCATCAAGCATAATTTCCTGTGCAATAATTAGAATATTTGCAGCAATATTTGCAAATATGGAAACTAGTTTATACTCTGGAGAAGGAGCGCTTACAGAAGGCATTTACACTGAGCGGCCTCTAGAACAGACCTTAGTATCTGAAAAATAAACAATGTGGATATGAGTTATGAGCAGTTCAACCAAGAGCAATTTTGTCTCTGAAGGATTTTGTGGCCTTAAAAGGTGAAACTATCCAGTATTTCACAAGAAAAGCAAAAAGCAATTAATAAAAGTAATAATAAATTAAACACTTTTTGTGTTACATTAATACGTTTCTCTTTCTTGCACCTTTAACTATTCAGATTTTTCTTTTGACCCCATGGGGGTCCTGGTCCCCAGATTGGGAAACGCTATTTTGTAAAATTACATTCTTATTAATCCTTTCTTTCATATCATGTACAACTGGGGCTTGTTATTTTTAAGTTTTTATTAAAAACACATAATTTATCAGTTTGTTTTGAATATTAAAAACGGATTTAAAAGCTGCTAAAATAAAAAAATAAAAAAGTTAATTTATTAATTAAATGAATAATACAAAAATCCAGATGAAAATCGGATTTGAAAAATACATTCTCAGCACATTCCCTCTGCAGATGAACCATTGTTTTTTAATTACTTCCAGGGACTCTGGTGCATAATCAGTAACTCATTTGCATTTCCTCCCAATTTTTCTCTTCACTTTTTATTACCTAAAGCATTTTCAGAGATACACCTCGTTTATTTTAGACCACGGTGAACACTTTCTTCTTACAGCAGAAAAGACAACGAGCTTTGGATGTTTGGGCACATTAAACCGGGTGAAAATATGTTTAAAATTAGTATTTTTTAATGAAAATCTTTACTATTTATTACTAAATTACTAAATTACTAAAATAATGAAGCTTATCTTCAGCCAACAGAGGATGAACAGGGAATTTGCAGTTTAAATGTTTACCTGGACTCCCAGAATTCCAAACACGATGAAAAAAGCACAGCAGATGAGGACAATATTCCCAATGGGTCTGAGAGATGTGATAAGAGTCTCCACCACCAGTTTTAGACCAGGAGCTCGACTTATCACCCTGCGACACACACACAGTCACAGACACGCTACATAAGTACACCAGATAATATTAATGGAGTAAACACAGGAGAAAATCTCCCGCACTCTTACCTGAGTGGTCGCAGTGTACGGAGCAGGCGAAGCACGCGGAGGATGCCTAAGATTCGATTACCACCTGCTGATGCGATGGAGACCAGGATGTCCACCAGTGACACAAACACCAGCACTCCATCTAAGACATTCCAGCTGCTCTGCAGGTACACACCATTTCCAAAGTACAGGCCCAGAGCTACCACCTTGACACACACAGACACACACACAGATCCAGCTAAATTACCGGAAAATAAACTAATATAAGGTAGAAAATGAGACTGAAAGCTATTCTAATACCCACCCAGGGAGAAAATTGCCCTTTTATAAGTAAGATGAGAAAATTACTTTGGAGTCAAGTGCTCATTCAGAATACGTGTCTTGTTATGGTTACCTTGATCATCATTTCACCCACGAAGATCACAGTGAAGATGTAATTGGACACACTGAGGAACACCCGCTCCTGTCATACACACACACACACACAACACACACACACACACACACAACACAAGTGAGAGTGTGTGCAGACACACAAAAAGAAGCACATTCGTCATTTTAAGGGTGTCATGTCCCAGTAGCATCAGCTTTGATTCTGACTCTAACTAACTGCATCGTGTTACATAATGAGCTGAGAAAAAAAAATCCATTATGAATGTAGGAGAAGCATAATAAAAATATACTGAGAACAGCACGTGTTCTTGTAATGACTCCCAAACAGCTCTTACATCAGCAATAAGCATATGAGCTTCGTTGTAGATGACAGCTTGTGTTGTGTTTTGTGTTTCTGTGAACTTCTATTTTTGTGAGGACTGATGGTGAGTTTTAAACCTTGACAGTGAGGATATTTTGGCTGGTCCTTACTTCTTTAAAGGGCTCTTTAAAATGGACTGGGTTATGGTTAAAATCTGATTTAGCTTAAGGACAGACACATTTATTTGTATTGCACCTCTCAGTGCTTTATGTAACAAGTAAAAATGAATTAAAAAGCATTTAAACACAATGAAGTAATAACAATAAAACAGAATAAAGCAGGCCACACAGTTTCAGTGCAAAATTACCACTATTAAGGTTAAGTTTAAAGGTTGGGGTTAGGCATTTTGTTAAAGTGGTGCTAGGGAATGTGTTGTGTCAAAGAGGGATGTTTGTGTGTGTGTGTGTGTGTGTGTGTGTGTGTGTGTGTGTGTGTGTGTGTGTGCGTGCGTGTGTGTGTGTGCTACCATGCTGTCAGGCTGTATGTCAGGTCGCTCCAGAGCAATGGTGATACAATTAAGGAAGATGAAGAGGAGGATGATATGATCAAACATCTTGTGACCTATGACCCTCTGACACCACGACCTGAACCTAAAAAGAGAAAAAGACAAGGAAAGCGCTATTTCTCTATTTTTGACAAGATTTGCACTCATCACACATCACTTCCATCACTGCATTTGTCAACATAATGTGTGCGTTTTCACTTGGCCAGATTTAATTGATAAAAGTGAAAATTGTTTTACTAAGCCTTTGCGGCAACCTTCACACTTTAGCTGTGAATTTTCACACGTGCTGCGGTTTAAGCCACCTAGGCCACTCAGGAGGATATCAGGGGTGGTGTCTGCTTGTGCTTGTGTGTGTGTGTGTGTGTGTGTGTGTGTGTGTGTGCTTGTGTGTGTGTGTAGTGTGTGTGTGTAGTGTGTGTAGTGTGTATTTACCGGTTGTGTGGAGCGAACAGATAGAGAGACCACTCTTCATGCTCCAGGCACCACTGAGGCTCATATGGCTCCAGCAACTTCTTCAGCTTCTTACATAAACTCTGGAAGGAACACACACACACACACACACACACACACACACACACACACACATACAGGCTTAAACAACTGACTTGCCACTTGAGAAGCAAGTTATATTAAGTAAGTTTGTTTTCCTCTCTTGGTAAAAAACCTCTACGGCTTCACCATCCCCATTAAATACCACATCATCACAATGGGGTCTAATCACCAAAGACTTTGTACATTCTCATATTCATTGTTTCACATGTCAATAAATTGTTGTTGATCACTCAGTAAAAGTCTCTCTTGATTGAAATGAGGCTCAACACAAGTTCAACCAGGAAGATTATCTCCTACTCTCTCTCTCTTCCTGCCCTCTAGCAGCCGACTATGGGCATTCTCTTTTTTGTTTTGTAATCTGATTTTGCCATGATCAGCACAGCCAATCATGTAGTCACTATCGAGCTTTAAAATCCATTCTCTCCTGTGCTGTCAGCTGTTATTTCAGCACAAATCGGCCCTCCTCCACCCCAATTCACCTTCTCCTCATCACATCCAGATCCTCAGCCTTTTTTCATCCTTTCATCATCACCATCAGTGTCTAGACTCCATCGGTGGGGGGTTTCTGCACTGGCATCAAGATGGGGTCTAATCGCCAAAGACTTTCCCAACACCTTCTCATATTCATTGTATCAGGTGTCAATAAATTGTTGTTGTTCACTCAGTCAAAGTCTCCCCTGATTTTACGTGGAAAAAGTGGAAAACAGTAAATTGTAGTTGTAAACGTAAAAATTCCAACTCAGCAGGTTCCTCAAACAATGTTCCCAATATTTTCTCCACCCTGCTCATAATTTAAATTCAGCTAATTAAATATTTTCTGTGTCTGCGGTCACTGAGGTTGGATTTTATGCCTTTGTAAGATAATTAGCAGCAGTTTTGGAACTGTTAAACTCATCTAAACAAGTTTTTTATTAACTTGTTTGAACTGGAAATAACAGAAGAGGAACACCATCAAAATTCCTTTTCCTTGTGACTTTAATGTGAACCACTTAAACAACACAAATGCAGAGAGCTGCACCTCCTCAATCTCATCCTCCTCCTGGTCGCCATGGTAAAGCGTGGCCAGGGGAGCATCATCGTAGCAGCGGTCAGGGAGGTGAAAGGTGGTGCCGTTGCAGTCGGGCGGGTGGAGCATGGGCACCTGCAGGTACTCCGGCTGGTCCAGAGAGTGCTCCCTGCTGCTAGCGTTGGAGCTTGTGTGTGTGTCGGACAGCAGGGACTCCATTTCCCCCGACTGGCTCTTCCTGTGGAGGCTGGGGGCTCGGCCAATGCTGGTCCAGCTGGAGCGACGGCTCTCTGGCCCACTGTCCCACAGAGACTGTGAAGACATCTTAGAACAACAGTAACACCTGGTTGGATTTCTGAAGTGCACATAAAAATGTGATTTTTTATTAAAAATGTGATTTTTCACGGATTAAAGGTACCCTGTGGAGTTGTTATGGAGCAATGTTTTGATGCTTGCTTTTGTTTGTATCTCATGCTCTAACGGGCTGCACATGAGGACAAACGTTAGGGCTGTACGATTAATCGAAATGCAATCCCAATCTTGATTCTGCCATCATGCTTGTATTAGCAGGGAGATCCAATGCATTAAAACAAATACACCTCGTGCCTAAGCTGTATCAACAAATGACAAGTGAGCATTACTCCAGGTGACAAGCAGTGCACAGGAAGAGGGGGGCCGGACATCAGTGTAAACAAATCTAACATGTGTGAGAGACTGGGGAGTAAAATGTAGTGGAAGAAAACTGACAAGGAACAACAAAAAATATATCAGAGCTACAGAACGCTAGAGATGGTAAGGAAGACTCAATATGTTTATTATTATTATTATTATGAGCACATATGTGACTTTGCAAGCAAAAGAAACACTGCAAATTAGTACGACTACCTGAAATATCACAAAAAGGCCAGGAACACGTCAGTGGGAAATGCCCATTGCCAACCACTCAAGCAGCCAAAGCTGGAGAGAACACCAACACTGACAGCAGCAACTGAACAACTGAATCTGGCCCGACTGCAGGACAATTACCTCAAATGTAAGCTATGTCAATGAATTAAAGGAGGGTTATATGATTCAACCCTAACCACCACTTACACAGGTAGTACAGGTAGTAATGTGCCAAGTAAAGAAAGCAATGCGGTGGTGATGGAGCAATGGATAAGCCTATGTCTTTGGTGTGAGAGACCTGGGTTCAATCCCCTACTGTGTCCCCTCCATCAATGTGTCCCTGAGCAAGACGCTTAATCCCTAGTTGCTCCAGAGACGTGTGACCTCTGACATGTATAGCAATTGTAAGACGCTTTGGATAAAAGCGTCAGCTGAATGTATAATAGTTTAGTTCATCAATGTGCCAGCAAAAAGCCCTGTAACAAGAAAACTGCCAGCTGTAACAATGCAGGTTATAAAATATTTGGTTTTACCCATGATGGGTTTTGTTGAGAAACACTGAAAGTAATAAAAAAAAAACTCTGCAAGGTACCTTAAATTGAAGTTTTTCTTCTTATTTAGATTAAACAACTCTGTTAATATTATATGTTTTTGCAATAACAGATTTAGAATTTGTGAAAGTGATCATTCTAATCATTTAAAAAGCACAGCTCCACCTGGATTTATCTCCTTTTAATTTATCATTCTCTGTTTGAGTGCTTCTGTAAATCAAGTTTATTACTCATAGTTAATGTGGTGATAATATAACGTGGGTAAAAGCGTGTGTCCAAGGCTCACCAGTGACCTCGGCTCAAGGCTGTTAATGTCCATGGAAGCGCCACTTGCCCGGCGTGACTGGCTGGAGTTTATGGTAGGCGTGGCTGCAGTGTGTGTGATGACCGGCAGTGGAGGAGGAGGAGGAGGAGGAGAAGGAGGAAGACGGTGGGGCATGGAGGCTTTTGGGTTTAGGAGACCATTGGGGCTCAGCATCATGGCCTGGATCTTAACTTCTGCACACACACAAGCAGGCAGACACAAACATTTTTGTTAGAGGACAATTCCAGTTTAAAAAATCTTTGGTTGTTTTATTTTGGTAATGATCAGGGCTGTAGCTACCGATGATGACACAGAGTTCATGTCCACAGTATTTTGTTTGTTTGGGGAATTTGAGGACCTGAAGTGTATTTTACATTTTATAATTTGAAGGATAAACAAAGTGAAATGTTAAAAGGCAGATACCAATGTTTCAGACATTGTCATTGAAAATGGGCAAATATATTAAAAACAGTTTAACAATTGACAGTATTTATCATTGGAAGAATAGATAACAATGTTGGAAGCTTTTCAATCCCTCTATAGAGAAACTCTGGGACATGCAGCTGTTTTTAAATACATAAAGAAACAATAAAAATGAATATAATGGAATTATTATTATTATTGATCCATAATTAAATTCCCTAAGTTTGTCTGTGTGTATTTGCAAAAGTATCAACATAAATAGAGCATTTTGCATGTTTTTGGGGTTCCTTCAAAAAGGGTGGAAGGGGCTGCTTGGCCTTATGACTTCTAAACACGTGCGACATATAACTACGTCAGGTACGGTACGTCAAAGTTGAACCAGGAAGTTGGTCTGTAAACTGTAAATGACAGTTAAACAGTTTGGGTAATTTGTTTTCTCTTCAAAACACGTTTGGTGAAAGGATAATTTCATTTAAATTTTCATATATTTTGATGTGGAAATGACTAGTAGGTACAAAACGTTTTGGAATCCGTACAGTAGGGTGCTTCAGCCAGCAGCTGTGCACTGGCTGCAGTGGCTGCAACGTATTCCTTAGGGGTATTCTTGCTCTGAAATCTCTTGAGAGGCGAGTTGTTGCAGGAAGTCGATGGTGGAAACATGAGTCAGAGTTGAAGAGAGTTATGTCAGGAAATAAAGTTTTGCTAGGAATTTCTCTATGAACACAACAATCTCCTCTCCCTCTTTTCAGCTGGTGTTTCCTGCATCCATTTGCCTCTCATGAGATTTCAGAGCGAAAACTATTCTTGATCGAGACTTCTGTTTGTTGTTAAATACAAAGGGTGTCACTGGGAGTCACTCATAGGGGTCACTAGCAAAAATTCGTAAAACTTTTAGTACCTACTAATCATTTTTACACCAAAATATGTGAAAAATAGGGCCCAGGTTTAAAAACACAGAAATTCCCCTTTAACCCAGAGGTTTGTTTAAAACCTGTATTATCAATTGACTGCTTGTGTTTCTTTTGTTATTATTACCCATGAGAAAGGCAACCAAGGCTACAACAATAGGACACACTTTGTATTAAACCAAAATGATGCTTTAAGGTAAATGTAGGTGAGTGTATATTTCCATGTCAAATTCTAAGTTGATCTAAGAGTTTATACCTGCAGCGTACAGCTCTCTCAACTTCTCCTCATCCTCGTAAGAAAGAGATTGTCTCTCGTCATCCGTCTCAGATCTGTTGGCATCACCCTAAAACACACACACACACAAAGCACTGGGATCACCACTATCATCATAATCTTCATCGTCATCACCTTCCTTTTCTCATTGTCTGTTGACTTGTCGTAAAAGTGAAAAATATAAGCGGAGAGGGAAAGACTGAGAGACAAAGACTGAGAGGCAGACGGGCGGAGGGGATCTCCAGTGTTCTCTAGTTGAGTTATGTGCCTGGCTTTGGCAGCGATCTCCTGTAGTCACGCCAATAAAGCTTTACTGAATTTAATTAAAATTCACGCCAGAAAGATGGAGGCAGACGGCTTTGGCAAAGGGTATCTGTATGTCTGTGTGTGTGAGTGTGTGATAGAGAGAGAGAGAGAGAGAGAGAGGGAGAGAGAGAGAGAGAGCAAGTGTTCTCTGATGCTGGAGATAAAAGATGAAAACTAAACAACAAAAGCTCACCAGCTGTGAATGGCAGGCGATATCAAACACATCCCTACCCTGGAGAGTGTTTATGTGCGTGTGCTTGCGTGTGCTTGCGTGTGTGTGTGTGTGTGTGTGTGTCAGCAAGAAAGAAAGAGAGAAAGAGAAAAAAAGGGGACAGAGAGAGAGAGGAAGCAATAGAGGACAACTGAGAAAGAAAGAGAAAAGAGAGTGATGGATAAAGAGAGAGATGGGAAAAACCACACAGGCAGGATGGTACAGATTATTCTCTTGTAGGCAGCTTTGGTGTCATCAGCACAACAGAGCTCAATTAGTCTCGTTCTCTCTGCCTCATTCTTTCTCTAAGCAGCTAAAACAAATGCATCTTTGCCCTTACTTCAGCTTGAAAGCCCTCAACCAAAATGGCTACAAGCAAGTTGAAGAGGACGTAGTTGCCAAAGGTCATGAGGGCTACAAAATAGAGGGCAGCCAATGGTGTGGTGGAGGCCATCCCGTTATAGAGCACCGCATTCCAGTCCTCCTGGGTGAGGATCTGCAGAGGGGAAGAGATGTGGGGAGAGAGGTGATGAAAGTCAAACATAAGTAAGAGAAAAAATATGTCAAACACAAAATAAAGCAGAAATGCAACCTGCATTGCTAGTAGCATAATAATAAGAATAATAAGAGTGGATTCATCCTTTAATATCTCATTGTCAGTTGAACAGTAATGATGCTCATCAGTGTTAAATGAGCTCCTGTAGAGTGCGTGTTTCATTACTCTTCCTCCCCCTCTGCTTTTGAAGTGTATCTTACCTGCCCACTGGGAGAGTTTTCATATTTTGTTGAAAAGTCAAGCGTGAGCACTCACAAATTGGAGCAAATGAAATAATGGAGAAGATCTTCAACGCTGCTACTGGTGACAACAGCAGCTGCTGTTTGAATCTCATCCCAATTCATTTCAAAATTACATTTAGCTGTAATGTATCGATGCGGAAATTCCTCTCAATTAAATGTCGTCGATTTATTTGTGTGCTCATATGCTCGTGTATGTTTGTATTTGCGTGTTTGGTCTAACCTGAAACACAGTGACAATTGCCCAGAGCAGGGAGTCAAAGTTTTTTCTGTCAGGTAAAGTGTCTCCACTGTCTTGTCGCAAACCAAATTTACAGCCGAACAGATGCATCCCCAAGATACTGCAAAACACAAACAAACAAACACATAAACACACGCACACAAAACAATAAGAAAATACTTTCATTACATGCCAATTTAATATGGATGCTGTGCAATAAGACTCAGTAATGCTGCCTGTGTGAATAACTGTGTTTGTGTAAAAGGTGATGGTACAGTGGCTAAGACACATGCCTTTGATGTGAGAGACCCGCGTTCGAATCCACTGTGAGACACCATTGTGTCTCTGAGCAAGGCACTGACCCCCTAGTTGCTCCTGAGGCGTGTGACCTCTGACATACATAGCAAGCATAAGTCGCTTTGAATAAAAGCGTCAGCTAAATGGATAAATGTAATGTAGGTGATACATGTGGTAATATGTCTTGTAACAGAGTAAGAAAAAGGTCAGTAGTATGATTTCTGTAAGGTATGAGATACCGTTTTTGTCCTGTCTACACCTATCTATCGCCCCATAGAGAAAAATAAAAAGAATACAGTATACCTGAATATGAATATAAAGAGCATCAGCAACATGCAGAACGTGGCCACATTGTCCATGGTCTTCATGAGCACCACCAGCTGCCTCCTCAGGGCAGGAAGGAACCGGACTAGCTTCAAAACTCTCAGCAGACGGAAGGTACGCAGCACCGACAAGCCTCCCTCTGCCTCACCCACAATCTCCCACACACTAAAACAAACACAGATGACAAGCAGATTATAAACACAAAGTTAAATTCCCATTATTGCAACCAAGGAATCAATATGTACTTGACCTCAGCTGTAACTCTTTGGAAGTCAGCATGGTTATCACCCACAAAAGCCTCCCTTCCAGGTAGGGAAAGTGCTACATTATTTTTCTTGTGACATGTGGCAGCTGAAAAGAGGAAATGTGCCACTGCTGTTTACAAGTCATGGAAAAAGAAGGAGTCTGCAGTGGCACAGTAAACAAGTCTTCAAGCACAGATATATAATTTAGCTTGTAGTACTACATAATGGAGTGAATACAGGCTCCCTGGACAAAGAGTGCAACCACATGGCTTCACTGCCAGAACAAGCTTCACTGTGACAGATTGGGAGACTGCAGTGCTGACTCGCAGTGAGGATTTCCAAATGACAAGACAAATGCATTCCCATTTTGTGGTAAATTTACAGACAGAGACCCCTTCCCCTAGAGCCCCACCTGATGATGACAATGATGCTGTCGAAGCCGTTGTAGGGGTTCTTGATGTAGCCAAAGAGGCCGAGAGCCAGCACCTTCAGCAGCATCTCGAGACTGAACAAACTTGTGAACACCATGTTAGAGATCTCCAAAATATCTGTCAGCTCCTGCGGCTGAAGAGTTGTTTGTGGAGAGAAAAGGAGGAGAGATTGATGTACAGATATTGGACAGGCACAGAGAAAAATGAACAAATAAACAGAGACAGACAGCCTGGCACTAGAATCAACATGCTCAGAATTTCTAAAATGCTTTTCAAGGCTACAGTGTAGGTTTATGTGGATAAAGTCTTACATACATGGAGAGAAGCTGCCCCAGGATATGAATGCAGGTGTGCTTTCACCCACAATCCTTAGGAGTAGAATGAGTGAATGCACTTTCATTATTCATATTATTGATATTACTTAAAGCAGTGGTTCTCAAACTGGGGCTTAGGGCCATAGAGGCATTGCAGGAGGGAGACACACACAGCACATCTAAAGTTAATCTCATTAATGTCAAACAACAGTGTTCTCCTGTTAGCAAGCCTATCAAGATTGATTCAGACAAAAAAACAATTACAAGGCGGCCAAATTTTAGACAAGGGCGAAAAGAATAGTGGTGCTCATCAAGCAAAATCTGTGGTTATGAACACAGCTGGAAATCCTGCCCTGTGGTTGTATGCCTCCGCCAACCAGTCAAGTTGCAGTTTTTGTCCATGTCTTTCCAGACTTATATAATATATGTAGAGAATTCTTGGAAGGAAATAACTTATCCCCAAAGCAAATTCCTCGTACATGTAAAATACTACTTGGCAATAAAGCTCTTTTTGATTCTGATTCTGCAGTGAATTTTTAAATTTTTAAATGGAAGTTATCACTATATTGATGATACATATTTATGATTCCACTGAATATCTGTACATTGTTGAACTGATCAATGAAGAATTGTCATAGATGCATTGACTAAACAGGAACAGATGTACATGATTACTATGTAAGGATGGATTCTTATGGAGTATAGCTACACAAAATGTGGTGCTTTTGTTTTCTCTGAGGATGTCATGTCTCTCTATGAGTTGTAGGTGAAACTCATTCATTACATGATTAGCTAGGCGAGCTCCATTTGAGGTCACAATGACCTTTGACCTTTGAGTCAAAAGTGTCACGTTTTCAGTGTCCAACAAACTGTGAAATATGGTCATAATCCTCTTTTCTGTTCCTGAGTTATGTTATTGAACAAAAAAAAAGTGTTTTCTGGATATCACAATGTCACACTGAAGTTGACCTTTTGGACATTTCATCACTTCATCGTTGTATCCCATTAAACATTTGTGTGAAATTTTGTTCATCTCTGACTCTAAGTAGACGTTTGTGCCACATTTGAAGAAATTCCCTCCAGGAGATATCCCGTTCATGGGAATCTACATTTGCCTTTGATAATGTCCATCAATAATAGAATGTTTAATATCATTTGATTATACATTTAATTTGTATTTTGTTTGGACAGAAAGGGGTTAAGTAGAGTTTGCTCAGCTGTAAAAACAAAACAAAAGATGTGTGGCTGCTCTAATCTGTTGAAATGAAAAGCAAGAGGTTCTGCAACGCACAGGTCTGGCATTAAGTTAACTAGTATTTTTCATTAACACATCAGTAATTCAAGTTATAGTATATATAATGATATTTTTTATTAAATAGCATTCAATTTGGCTTGTTTTGTTAGTAGTTTTAACATTATTATTATTGGTTGTTATATTATTATATTGTTCACAGGAGGGCAGAGGTCATGAAAGGCTTCTCATTTCAATCAGGTACATGACCACTGACTTAAAGAGTAAATGGCTGGCTTTTTTTACATTTTAAGATTATCAACAAAACTTAATAATAAGTGGTCTTTTTTCCCCATATCCAAAGTCTAATATATCTTGTGCTTCCATGGCATAGAGCTGTTGTCAAATAAAAACCATGGTATTAAAAACTACAACTACTAAACAAGCTATACCATGGCATTGGGTGACATTTCTTCATAACGGTGAATACAGTGATTTATTTCTCACAGCTTGTCAAACCAACAAAGCAGTGTAAAAAAGTAACTGTGCTCAGTGGCATCTGCCTAACACGGAGCAACTCTCCAGAGATGAAAAAAATAAGTCCCTGAGGTGTTTCAGACTAAACTGCACTGGTCACGTTCACTGAAATGAGGGAATGTCGCCCAATGAAACAGCATGGCTCTTTATTTATACTTAATAGTTTCTAGATGACAATAGATTTCTATGGCACAGAGAAAAAAAAAGCTATATCAGGCTTTGGTAACATATTCATATATTACTTTATTCATTCTTACATTTTCATTGTTAGTTTTGGTCTCTTCAGGAGATTTGTTGAGAACAAAAGAAGGATAAAATAGGGCTGGCCTTATCCTTACATTTTGTCATTGAAGTAGTTAAGGCCATCCAGATCTGTCATATTGTTTAGGAAATGCAATCTTCCCCCGTCTCCCAAAGTCTATCCTTGCCTTTCAGCCAATCACAATGTCAGATCTGTCCTCCTCCTTCTCCTCCTCACTCTTCCATTCGCTCTAGCTAGCTTCTCTCACTCTACCCCGTCTGTACAACGCTCACTCTCTCTCCTGTCCCAGGGTCACGCTTTAATTAACACTTCAGGTCTTATGAGTTTCTCCATCTCCTGATACATGCTCGCACACACCCACCCACACACACACACACACACACACACACTCACACAAACACACACACACACACACTCACACAAACACACACACACACACACGCACACATTTCGTGATCCCATATGCTTGGTGCTGTAAGTGTTGATTGGAGGGTAAGTTCATTGGCCCACCACACACAATGATTAGCACATCCATTTTCAATCAAATTGTAGTCACATACAATCTGCAAGAGGCACGCACAAAGCTATGCATGCAGCCTCTTACACACACACACACACACACACACACACACACAAACACTCATTCCTGTCAATCATACCTGTTCGTGGTACTCTATGCCCATTGAAAGTGTGTTAATAAGGATGGCAATCATGATTCCTCTGTTGAAGTATCTGCTGCCAACGATGAGATCTAGTTTAGTTCGGAGTCCCGCCCAGCAACGCTTGCATAGCCTTTTCTTTGGTTCAGGCACCTGTGCATCACCGCGGCATGGGCTGCTACAGCGGCATGGGCTGTTACTATGACATGGGCTGTTGCCATGGCATGAGTTGCTGTACCCATGATGATGGTCTTCAATCTGTTCATTAACATTTTCACTGACACTAAGTTGGTTGTAGTAGATGCAATACGGGCATACTGGGGACTCTCCTGAGACTTCACCTGGCAACGGTAATGCAGGATGCCCAGTGCACCCACCTGCACAGACAGAGGGAGGAGGTGATATAGACACGGGTTGCAAAAGTCATACATGCACAAAGGGCATAGTGAATAGCTGGTTCTGTATGTTGCACTCAATATATTCTCTGCTTGGTAAAAGTGAGCAACTTCATTTCATTTCTGGGAGACAAAATTCAATAACATGTGAGCTACTGTGCAGTCGGGATGCTTTTGTGTAGAGGGGTTCTTTTATTAGAACAGGGATGTGTGCATGCGTGTGTGTGTGTGTTGGGAGGAAGGGGCGTAGAGTGAAGTGGGAGTAAGATTTCAGTGGAATTCATTAGTAAGCAGCTTGGGAGGAATGCTCCAATGACAACAACAAACACTAATCTAGCATGAGCAGTTCACTTGTCATCACAATTACAACAAATTCATGTTTCACTAGAGACTATGGTGTGTGTCTATAGATAATGTGGGCTGCAACGAAACTTTCAGCAGCCAGACTTACTGAAAATTGGCTCTGCACTAAACACACAAAAAATACACTAGAGCATCTAGAGCTGTGGTTTTCAGCATTTTGGCCCTGGTGCATGTTACAGCATACTGAATAATTTCTACTCAGTTTTTTTGTGTATGAGAAGTATCCCAGACAGAATTAGAATTTATTACTAAATTGTATTCAAATTTGATATGTCTTTTTTCTGTTATGTAACCAATTTTACACATCAATGTCAAGTCATTCATAATGGGGAGATTTACTGTGAAAACAGTTGTATGTCTTCTGAGACTGAAGGAGCTTTGAAAAGTTTTGAAATTGTAACATTTTTAATGAAAAGCCTGCATTACCAGCTGAGAGTGTGCAAGATGTGTTGTGTTTTTGGAACATGACCCATTCAAGGGATTAAAAGACAAGATATCTTGGCTTCTGCTGCTGTGATTTTGACCATCCATTTTTATGCTTCCCCTGAAGTGAGTCCCCCATGTTTATAGAAGTGCAGTTTTATGGAGTACCACATTAAACTCTTCATATCTGAGAAATCAACACCCTAAAATCCTCAAGGACAGTTGCTGTAGTTGCTAGGTCAGAAAAAGGTAATATCTTGTTGCAAATCATTTCATAAATTTTCACATCCTAACACTCGCTTTCTTATCCTTTGTCTCCCTTCAGATTTCTGGGAATCAAACATGTTTAGCTGCACAGAGGAGGAGATGTGGACAGAAAGCTAGGACTGAGAGAAATGTTATGGATCAATTGTCTGGAGACACCGCAACCTTTAGGCTTGACTGAAATAGTTTGATTTGACATACAGTATTTTTCTTTTTAAACTAAGGTGAGGTATGAGAGCTTTTGTCTGATGTTTTTATATCATCCTTGTTTATGGTGTATGTAGCTGTTGCAAATGTGTGTTTCTCTTTTATTTATTTCATACATCTTAATCCATGTTCTCAATCTTTGTGCTAACAGCAAATACTATAGGACTACAATATCCCGAGAGTGTAAGGGATACACAGATGTGTTGCCCTGGGGCTAATAACCTGAATGTATAAATACACCACAGAGTTCTTGCATTCAGTTTGCCTTGTAGGCCATCAAGGTCTATGACCGAAAACTTATGCAGACTCTGCAGGAGTGCAGGAAGCTCTTTTCTTTCTTATAATGCTTTGCTTTGGGCACCAAAACAAAATTAAATTCATCTCCCCTGTGTCATGCGGCACAAGTCTGTGAGCGGCATGTCTAAATGCTACTGAGGGTAAGTGGGAAAATACGTTCATTTGTAATTTGAATTCATTTGATCCTCAAAAAAAAATTCTTGAATTTAAAGAAACAAAGCAGAGCTACCTGAATCTCTCTAACACAAACACAAAAAGAGGCACATTAAACCTTTGTTGACAACTGCACTGCTGACGTTGCTAGAATACAAGGGGCCCAGTGCTGGTCTTTGCCAAGGGCCTCCAAATCTGTGCTTCCACACCTGTAAGGCCCAGGTTGACCAACTATGACCTTGAGAGCACTCACAAACACTCACTAACACACACAAACCCTTTCGTTCTCACCGTGCTCCACCACCAGCTGCGTCTGTCTGTTGACAGTCTCTGTGGCGACAAGACTCTTCTGGCCCTGGCCCTTTGCATCAAGGTGACTGAAGAGCGGCGATATGAAGGGATAATTAAACCCATTCCCTCCATTACTGACAACAGGCTCGGTCTGAGGCTGATGATGCTGGTGATGATGCTGGTGATGATGGTGGTAAAGCTGATGAAGGTGTGACAGGTCGTTGGGCACGTGGCCTGAGTGCCGGTGGGCAAGTCCGTTCATTTCCCCAGCTCCGCCCCCTCTGGCAGCTCCACCGCCTCTGTCTTTCTGGCACACGCACACGCAGTGAAGGTGTGCGTGTGTCTGAACGATGCAGCGGGACAGTCGTCGCCACGCCTTGCGGCCCAGGTGTGCCAGGTAGCGGATGATCTCCTCATAGCAGCTACCTGGTTGGCTGTCGCTGGCCAGCGTGGAAGCTGATTGGTGGAGCTGGCGGGCGTGCTGCTCCGATTTCATTAAGGCGTGTTCTCTCTGCTTTGTTTCAGAAAACTGGGTTGCTATGACGACCAGGCACAGGTTAATCATGAAGAAGGAGCCCACCTGACAACACACACATTAAGCACCGTTGTAACACACAGTACAGTACATGTCATCTAGCTGTTACACAAGTCACTTTTTATGGTTGTGTGTCTACTTACTATAATGAGGAAGATGAAGTAGATGAAGTTGTAGAAAGAATGTGCATCCATAACGTAGTACATGATGTCCACCCAACCTTCTAGAGTAATTACCTAAATGAAAGCACACACACAGACACAGAGTAAAGTTTGGTGTGTAGTGTGCATAACATTCATTGATTGAATATGTATCCCTGTATATAAATGCTTACCTGAAAAATGGCGATCCATGCATATCCAATGTTATCAAAGTTAATAGCTCCTTTGTGTGGGTTTATTTCCCCAGCCCGACACTCATTGTAATACTGGTACCAGTTTACACATGACGCTGTTTCATCTACTCTGAGTCCCATCCCTGGACGGGCCTCCTCAGCTCCCAGGAAGCAGGATGTCCCGGCTACACGGCGGCGAGGCACATCAGTGCACCGAAGCATCCCATTTTCCCTTTCCATTGAACAGATGAATGGATGGTCATCGGTGCCATCTGGCCGATAGTAGCCACTCAGGAAGGAAATGTTGTATCTCCTGAAGAAGAAGGGCAGAAAGTGATTTAAACTATGTTATTTCATTTTATTTATCACATATGTATAGAAATTATTAACTAGTATACAGTAATGAAACGAAACAGAGGTTTCCTTATTGTCAAAAAGTTCCCCAAAAAGACCAAAAACCATGAAATGCTAGAATCTGTTTCGCAGTACTTCCCAAATCCTTTTCCTGTCTGTGGCACTCCAAGCCAATTTGGTTCTTATGAAGACGTAAATCTTAATAATATAATAGAAAAATATAATCATAGTTTTATTTTTACAAAAAGAGCTGGACACTGTATTTTTAGCAGTCATTACTCAGACAGGATTAAAATTTGCATTTATTGAGGACTATTTTCAGATGCAGATTAAAAACTAATAACAAAATACAAAGAGTAAGTTTCTGGACAAATTCAGGTAAAGTTCTGACAATTTTTCAGAAGATAAATCATTTTATTGACCTTTTGTTTGTGCAAAAGGTATTTTTTCTGGAAAAACGGTGCAAAAGGAAGAAATGAGGAAAGAGAGAGAAATACAGATGAAGGGAAAAGAAGAAAAGAGAGAGCGAGAGTGCAGTGGAGAGATAAGCAATCAATCATCTGTGGTGTAGTGAGGGGTCACAGAGGAGTGGTGCTCCCTCACTTCTCATTAGGAAAGGTCATTTTGTTGTTTATGAAACAGAAAAAAATCCAAATTGCTGACCAAAAATAAAATCTAGTGAGGGATTAGTTTTCAGTGAAAATGTATAAGCTACTGTACAGCAGGCTAATGTGACCAGATGTGATAAACGCATGAGCCAATAACAATATGATATTGCCTTTCCTGTGACAGCTGCAGTATGTTTGAAATGCATCTCCTGCCTCGGTGGTAAAATTAAACTAATAAATATGTTGTTGCTTTTTATGGTGTCTGTTCTACTCACTCTTAAGTTACAATCACATCTTAAAACTTATCATTTTCAAAAAGGCTTTTATTAATTATTAAAAATTGTATCGTGGGCATTGTGTTTTATTGTATTCACTGTACTTTTATTTGCTCTATTATATCTAATTGTGGTGTAGATTTGTTTAATTTATTTTTACTTTGAAAGCATGTTTTCTTGAAGTATAATTACTCAGTTACAGCAGGAACTGTACATTCATTATAAAACTACTACTCCACATAGAACAACAGTATAATAGATGTTTTCGATGCAGCCCTATCTCTTCATAAACCAGGGATTATCATCTAAGCGGGATGGTTGAGCAGATGTGAGACCAGAATGTGAACATGATGTCATCTGATGTTATGTGATATTATGTGACTGCATTTGTGAACATGTGAGTGGGAGTGAGAGTGATGGTGTAACAGTGTCAGTTAGACAGAAATTGAGCATGACATGAAAGATCATGTAGGAGAGAACAGGAGTGACAGAGAAACCATCAAGGTCTGTGCTGAATTAGCCACTGAGAGTGCCTGAGTAACAACACTCAAAATTCACTTAATCCCTTGATTTGTGATCTATCATGCTGGAGGTTGTATTAGGAAACACATTTACACATTTACTTCCTCCCAGACTGAGCTGATTAGAGAACAAACATGATCAGGCTTTCTGTGATATTGATCCCCTCTTAGAAATAATAGCTGGGTGAAAGAAGCTAATCAGTAGTGAGCAAACATTAGAGAAGGGCTTCAGAGTAACGAGGCCAGTGCATCCCTTGTTGTGACATCTGCCGGCTTCTATAGTAACTCACATCTTGACATCCTCTCCCATGAAACAGCGGTTTCTCAGTAGCCCCGCCCACAGCTGCACACCGACGATGCCGAAGATGAAGAAGACAAAGAAGCACAGTGCCAGCACGTTGCCCAGCATGGGAAGTGTGTCTAAGAGGAGGGTCACCAGGATGCGCATACCTACCAACACACACAAGCACACATGCAGCAAAAACACCATAGGCAACAGTGCGCGAGACAGTGCAGACTAGCACATCCACATATAAACCTAAACTTTGGCAAAATGTCAGTCATAGGAAGTGTTGGCCAGACAGGAAAAATCTCTTAATGTATTCTGCACAAAACTGGAGCAGTGCAATTAATCGAATGGCAAATAATTAGAGTTCAAACACTGATGATTTGCCTCCACTTAACTCTGCTGAAGACCCCAGATACAAAATCTTCCTCTTTTCTGCTTCTTGACTTGGCTACTTCAAACACACTCTCCAATTCTACAAAAACTCTGAGTTGAGCCAAGGCCACGGAGTGTAGTAAAAAAAAAAAAAAGAAGGTTTGTGCACTGAGCTGTTAAGAAGAACACAAGCCTCACAACGATTTCCATGACTTTGTGCCCTGTGTCCTGATTTGTTTACCCATGCGTCCATCAATAGCAAAGCTGCTGTTAATAGCTCACGTTAAGAAATGAAGTGGAATTTACAGTGCAGCCAGAGAGTACAAGGACAGAGACACATTTTTCATTGTCTTGGCTGCGACTAATGAGGTTGCTGACTTTCAGCTGAGGGTGTTTCCACATCAGATGAACAGTGTAGCGTCCCATTTTATACATGGTCCACCAATTATAGGGGACAGGAAGTTGATTGGACAAGTTAATGTAACCTAAAAGAAGTCTGCACAGTCACCATATTTAATATTTTGCTCAGACAGTGCCTTCTGCTTCATTCTGGTTTTCAGCAAGTCACATACACAATAAGTTGGATTGTTGTCAGGTCAGCAAATTTTCCAGTCAAAAACGTTTACAGTTTGACCATAAAAATCCACTTAGTTGCCCTCGTTTTTTCTCTCTTTACAATCTTTGACTGGCTGCATTGTCCTAAAGTCAGGTATGTCCTTTACTGTTCACCCAAACTGGATGTGAACACTCTGTAAACCAACCAAAAAAATAAGCGTCAGCACTTTAACCTCCCAGTCACTGTTTAATTTAAAATCCAATGTGCTTGAGCACAGGGCCAAAACAATGAAAGGCAATAAAAAATGTCTTAAAACTTTCTGAGTGCAGTGTATTGGAGGAAAAAGGAGAAAAACTCACTGGGAACTCTGTTGATGGCTCGCAGTGGGCGGAGAACCCGGACTGTCCTGATAGCTGACAGGCTGACGTTGTGTCCATCAAGCGAGTACTCCAGCATTCTGCGGAGAGGGAAAGCCACCGCTGTGTCACTGGCATCCTGATCAGCCTGACCTTGGCAAACCCTGAGCGTCTGCAGGGAATCCAGCAGATCGCAGCGTCTCTGGGATACATAGCCTTCTAACTACCAATCACTGAGGTCTCTGTCTCGCAGGACCAAATGATGCCATTGTCATTCTAGGGAGCTGTCTCACACACACACGCACACTTCCGTCGGTACGTCTAAGCACGCGCACACACGCGCTTGACATTTAACTGGCATTAAACAAGTGTCTAAGCTTTACACAAAACACACACATACACACACACACTGTTGGCTCATATTTAATGTCACATGCGCGTGTGTACGTGTGCATGCGGGTGTGTGCGTCTTTTAAACACTCACCCCACTATAACAATGAAGAAGTCCAATCTGTTCCATGTGTCGCCCAGGTAGCCGCTCTGACCTATGACTCCGAGAGCCACCATTTTCATCAGCATTTCCCCGGCAAAAAACACAAAGATCCCATCATCCAGAGCCTGTGCGCACACACACACACACACACAAACACACACACACACACACACAAACACACACACCCAGAGGATTAGTGTAAACTGATTAAGGGGGGAAATTAAAGCAAAAACTTTCCAGGCCCTTGATAATAAAGTCTCACAGCTGAACATAATTAGTTTGTAATTCCAGATTGTGTGTGTGTGAGTGTGTGAATGTGTCAGTGTGCTTTACCTGCAGCAAGTAGGGGGTGTGGTCACAGGGCTGGAACATCCCTAGAGTCACACAATTCAGCAGGATGGCCAAAATGCTCACACGCTCAAACCATGTGTCACAAGGTTAAGGAACAGCACCACCGCAGAGTTTGAACATTACAATAACATAATATTAGCACATTTCATGAAGCAAATTTAGCTCAACAGGGTGATTGACAGGAGTCTCAACCAATCACAACAAGCCAAGTAGATTGCCACTTACAAGTCCCACTTCAGCTCCGCCAAGGTGTTCTCCCCCTTGCCCAAATGAGCAATAATAATAATAATAATGATGATTACAGATGGGTGTCAATTTAAAGGAAAAACCTTTTTCTCTTTGTCATAGATTCTTGGGAACTCTGGAGTGATAAACACCATTCTTCCAAAAAATATTTCCTAATTTGGTGTTTTGATACTAGTGGTGGAGAATCACACATCACTCCAAAGTCTCGCATTGAGACCTGGTGACTCCGAAGACCATATAATATGATTCAGTTTTCATTCTAATCAAAGCATTCAGTGACCCTTCCTGCCCTGTCATCTGCATATATTATGTTTCTCCGTTAATTAATTCAGGTTTTTCTTTTGGCTTTGTCACCCATCTGTATCTAGCCAATGGTAATGTCTGTAGCAACCCTGAGGAAATCCTGAGGATACTGACTGGCCAGTCATATCTATCTTGCACTGTACAAAAAATACCGGACTGAACTTACAAAATATCTGTCTGAGCACACACGCACAACTCCATGTGTGGATGTTGTGCCTCCCAGCTAGTGAAATCAAATTTACAAGCACAGAACTGAATGTACTAACCTAAAAGACATTTTTATAAGGGTAGAAACTTGCAATAATAAGCTCAAATGTATCAACTTTCATTCACAAGCACAACTACTGACAGGACATTTTGACATGTTTAATATTCACAACTACAAAAGCGGGACAGCTACCATGAAACCATAAGCCAGTAAGACATTTGAAGTCAGTCTAAATGTAAACTTGCTTAGGGTGTGTGTTTGTGCATCTGTGTTGCTTGCTAGCTGTCAAACTGGAAGAAGGAGCATGGCAAAGAAGTGAAAAGCAGAGAGGTTTAAAGGGGAAAATAGTCTGAAGTAGAAACTTAAAGGAATGATTGTGTTCATACAAACACAGAAGCACACATACACACTCGTATTTGTGCGCAAATGTGAAAAACCGCTGAATCGATGACAGGGATGTATTCAAGAGTCAAGGACGCATACATAACAAAGCCCGGAGCATGCACATGAACACATTCACATAGACACATGTGCACACACACACACACACATTCACACTCACACACAAAGTCCCCTGCCCGGACACTTTGCTCTCGAGAGGGCGGAAAAATTAATGAGAGTACAATCCTTTATCACCCTTGAGACAGAGAGAGAGAGCGAGAGAGAAAAAGGGTGGGAGAGAGAAAGAGAGGGTAATCCAGTGTCCTCCCTTTGCTGTGGTTGCCATGGGAACCCCCATCTCACCGTGGGAACTGACTTCTGAGTTTCACAATCCGCTTGCATCCTGTCTGGACTGGAACACAATTAACACAAACACACACATAAACACAGACAAACACAGACAAACACACAATAGAAAATGATGTACTTCAGCCCCTCGGCACCTGCTGAAGCATCCTTTCCTCATTTCCTCACTGTTGAGGAGGGTCGTTTTAATCCTGCTCCATCTGTATACGTTACAGCAGCTTAAATAACCCTGTGTGTCCCATAAAACACACACTCTCTCACACACACACACACACATTCACACACAGACACACGCACGCATAGTTAAACACGGGACGGGGCAGGGTCAAGGTGTGAGTGATGGATGAGATGGGAGTATTTCCATAGTTGGTCCATCATTCAACATCAGTGATGAAACACAGAGGGAACGTCCTCTCCCCTGTCTCTCTGTTTCACGCTCTCCATTGCTTTTCCTTTATCTCCCCTCACACTCAACCTTTTCCTCTATCATCTCTCATTTTCCTCTACAGCCCTTTCCCCCTCTCTTTGGCCCAATTATTTTTCTCTTCGCTGTGCTCCTCCTGCTCTCTGTCTATCCCTCTTCCTTTATATAGTGCAGTATAATTTCCCATCTTTATTCCACATAATTTCTCGCATATCTTTTTGCCTCTCTCATCCTCTCCCGTGCAGATACACCCTCGTTACTCTGCCCTTGGGTAGTGCTTTAGCTTCTCTGTCAGAAACCTGAGTCTCTGCCTATAGATAAACTACAACAACACTTAACACATAATAATTAATGTCTTCAGAGAGATGGACAGAGACAGATATAGATACAGTAAGTGAGAGGTGGAGGAGAAAAAAGAAGGGGGCAAGAAACAAGGACAATTAGACAAGGGGTGAAGAAAAATGGCTTGATGGCTGAGTAAAAATAAAAAGCACAGCTGAACAGTGGGATGAGAGAGGTTAAGACCTTGACAATTCCAGCTCTTAAGTGTAAACAACTCAAAAAGTTACATGGCCTCCAAGCTTTGTCTTCTCCTAATTGCCTCATCCTCTCATTTTCCTCACTCGCCAAGTACCACCCCACCCACCTCCCATGCTTTCCCCCTCTCGAACTCTCTCTCACTGAGTGCCTACACCGGTAATAAAGGTCAGGGAGACATTATAAGTCATATCAGATCACATCAGATCAGATTCTCCATGCTAAAGCCAGCGTGCAGGAACATATTTATATGTTCATTAACCTAAAAGGATTATCGGACATGCTGGCTGTCTAGATACACGCAAGCTATGAACAGATTAATTTTTTCTTCATGCATGCCTGAGAATGTTTTAGATTTTCCAGTGTGGTACCACTATCTCATATCGCACCCTTTCTAAAAGGTTAGAAGTTCAAAAGAAGATCAACTTGGGCTGTTGCAAAAATCTCTTTGGGTGGTGTAATATCCTTCTCCAGCATGGCACTTTTTTTTTTTAAATAACTCTTAAGTTCATCAAGAAGATCTCTCCAGTGGACCATTTGACCATTTACCTTCGGGAAAAGCTTTGCAGAGAATTTGGGCCAAACCCCATTTATTAATGGCTTATTAACATGTGCTTACTGCAGATTTGATGGGTTGTTGTAAAAATCCCTTCCCTAATGACTTACTAACATTTATAATTGCAGACCTGCTGGCTTATCACATGGTGAGAAACCCGTGAGTCCCTATGGTATGTTTTAATTAGCTATACTAGCGGCATGACACTGTGAAAGGCAATGTCAGTTGGTCCGTTGATCCAAACTGAACTATTTCAACAACTACCGCATGGACTGCTGTAAAATTTAGTTAAGACATTCATGATACCCAGAGGATGGATCATAATGACTTCGGTGAATCTCTGACTTTTTCTATAGCGCCATCATGACGTTCTCATTTGTGGTTTTGAGTGAAAAGTATCAAACAAGTATGGGCGCTTTGATGGCTGGTTAGTTCAGGTTTCCTGTTTGACACTATACTTATTTTATCCAACAAAGACAAAAAATGACCCACATTTTTTTAAAACAAAATAAAGTAGCAATGGTTTTTGATGAATTGCCAGGAAAATTGGTTTATTGTATATTGAGATGTTGTGATTTTCATCTAACACCATCATCAGGTTGAAACTTCAGTTTATCCAAAACTTTGGTTAATGATCGAATATCTTTATGGTGAATATAGGATTGCTGTTTTTTTGAGAAAAAAAATATGAACTCTTAGTCAGTGGTTAAAAGGTCTATCAAGTTGGGTTTTTATGGAAAAATATATATTTTAATGAACCCAACAACTTTGATAAGAGAGTTTTATTCATGGACTTTACTTTAGTATATCTTGTTGCTTCTTTCTTTGTAATACAGTTCCGTTTACATATGGGGTTTTTTTCTGATTGTGTTTTATATGTCCAACCAGAGACAAAACCAGAAAATAAAAAGATTGGATTTAAAAAAAATACTACATTCATAATTGTAGACCTGAATTTAGAAAGTAATAAAATCATGACCTGCATGACACTGCAGTTATAAATGTTAGGAAGTCACTGATAAAGTGTCACAAGTTTGTCTCTTTCTTATAAGCCATTAAGTCTGCAGTTATTGTATTGGTAAGTCATTAATAGGGGTCCTTCTGAATTTAAAGGTTCAGTCTGTAACTTTTACTGGCATCTAGTGGTGGGGGTTGTGAATTGCAACCAGTGGTTCAAGTTGCATTCACGTGCTCCTCAGATGGTCCCATTTCTCGAGTTGTGAAGTTGTTCTTCCGACTTCAATGTGTGTTCATGTGCTCTTAAATTGGAATGAGGAATCAACATGGACGCTACTACAAAGACATGTTGGATTAGCATTATCAGAGCATATAAACAACACGCAGACATCTAGTTCACTCAACATCGACAGCAAGTTAACAGTTATAATCATATTACAAATTACATGTTTGAAAAATATATATATACAATATAGGATTTTGCACAAACCAAAAGTTCTGTATACTTCTTTATGTCTCATGTACACATTATTCCTCTTTTTGCAATAAAGATTTAACGAGGAAAAAAAGATTCTGATTATTCCGACATCACATGAATTAGTCACCGCTAATATCTCCCTTTCCAAGGGCCTAAAAGAAGCTCTGTCGGCTCCTGTGCTAAATAATATATGTGGTACTCCATTTGTCCAAATTTCACTTCTTCTCTAAATTCTAATAAACCAGACAACAACCACCACTACATCTTCTTTTTCTTTGTACGTATTCAACGTAATGACGCAACACGCTCTGTCCATTTAGGCTACTGTAGAAACATGGCGGCGCAACATGGCGACATCCATGCAAGAAGACCAGTGGTGTATGTAGATAGAAATGGCTCATTCTAAGGTAATAAAAACATAGCGGTAATAATAAACTTAGAGGTTCATTTATGCCTCTTTTCCATTACCGGTACCAGCTCAACTCGCCTCGGCTCGACTCTATTCGACTAGGTTTTGGCCTGCCGTCATCCACTTTCCATTGCAGATAGAACCCAGACATAATATCCCTCAATGTAGTTGGTCCAGATAGCAACGCCACACACAGCTGCCTCGACATAATGTTCAACACGCACACATACGCAACCCACACACAGCTGTCTCTTGATTTAAGTTAAAACGTTAAATCTTGAAGCTGCATTTTCCTCTGCCGTTGTCGCTGGAGTTGGCTGCCACATTGGCTGCAGTGGTCTGTGTGACTGTGGGACCAGAGCTGTCTGTAAGCTTCCCCCGGCGGCGGCTTGTTAACTTCCCCCGACGGCACTTGCGGAGCTCCTCAACTCCGGAAACGTTCAAGCACATTTTTGATCCACCATCAATTTTCATAAAACTGTCAAGATTCTAAATCTACACAGTTGATTTCTCACCTCAAAACTTCTCATAAGTAGATTTAGTGATGAAATAACATACAGAAATTGTAAAATATAAAAACTTTCTCTTGCTGGCCTCTGTCTGGCTTGCACAATGATGATACAGTGACTAGTGACGATTCCCTCTGACCAATCAGTAGTCTGCAGTGTTTTCAAGTCACCTTTTAGTATCACCTTAGCTCAACTCAGCTCACTTAGAACCTTGACGGAGGTGATATGAAAAAAAGTACCAGGTAGCAGGTACAGGTACAAAAAAAAGGAGAGTAGAGTCAAGGAGAGTCGAGCTGGTACCATGCAGTGGTAAGGGGCATATGTAAGGTATTATACACCACTGAAAACATAGTTATGTATATTATATTGCATTTCTGTCAATAGATCCTCCTAAATATTACACACTGGACCTTTAAGAGCTGTTTTAAAAGACAAAAAAATGTAATGCTACACCAGCTAATGGGATTTTTTACAACCTGGTAACCCAAAGGTTTTTTTATTAATGGAATTTAACTGATATATAAAACATTGGTAAATTATTGATTAAGCATTAGTTACAACTTATGAACCCCACAAAGGGTGCATTACTTGAAAGTGAAACTGAATTAGGAGAACAATTACTTTATATTAATCCCAGTTGGGGAATTAAAAATCTACAATATATGTGGTTTGGATGGGAAATCCTCAGATGTGAACTACTGTGCATGAAGGAGAAACCTGCTCACTGGTTTCCTCATGCTCTTTGCTACTTGGACACTCTGGAATCCACACACACAGACTTGATTAAACATAACCTAGTTATGCTCAAAGTCTGTCATGTGCAGTGTGTGTGTGTGTGTGTGTGTGTCTGAAATGAAGTTGGGCCAAGTTACGTTACTGTCAAGTTGTCAAGTCCTCTGGCTCCACCCCCTACAAGTGTGACAGCTGGTAACCATGGAAACGCTTGCTGGAATCATGTTAATTGGCTGAAATGATTCTGACAGCTCACCTACTTTGAATGAGACCTCCTCCTATTTATCGTTGTCTCCCTATCCCCCCCCCCCCCCCCCCCCCCACGCGCATACACACACATATCTCAACCCAATTAAGAAGCCGTTTATGAAAAGGAAAAGAGAGAGGGATAAATAGAAAGGCAAGAGATTGATATTGAGTAAAGGGGGATGAGAGAAAGAAGAAAAGAGAGGGAGAGCAGAAGAAAGGCAGAAGGCAGGCAGAGAAAAAGGTACTTGTATGGAGTGACAGATACAGCTTTTCTCTTTAAACAAAAGGAAACGCTCTGAATGTTTCATGCACTGCTGAATAAGATATGTCCTTCCTGTGTGTGTGTGTGTGTGTGTGTGTGTGTGTGTGTGTGCGTGTGCTCCAGCACCTCCCCACATGTGTATACATGTTTCTGTGTGTATCATATGTTACACATTAAAGGTGGGAGATATGAAAAGCTCAGCACCTCACAAAGTAGGCCCCTTGTTACACACTTACAGTGAATCTAACTGTCTCCTCCCCAAAGAAATAACATAAATCAACGTAGCTTGGAAGGAATACAAGAGAGTGTTATATAATAGGAAAAGCCCATCTTGTTTTTTGTTCCAAATAAATTTGTTAGATGTGCTGTAGGGTGGAGAGACGTACAGTATGTTGTAAACATGGCACATAGGAGAATGACTGTGTTTCTCAGAGGGAGGAAATAGAAGGACAGAAGATAGGAAATTAATTTGTAATATGTACTGAGTGCAAAAAAAAGGCAGCGAGCAAGGAGGGACTTACAGTTCTTAGGGACTGCCCCTCCCACCCCCCTCCTAGTGCGCTCACATTAATGTCCCTGTCGAACACCGTCCACCCACATGACTTCCCCCGCAGATCACTCACAGTCACACACACACTAACACAGACCCAGACAAACACACACGCACACTGTAAGTATGAGGTACAAACGTATATATAAACATGGGAAACGTGCCAGTAGCTGTGCTCTACGGACACATAATCGGAAAGACAGACAGACACAAACACTCATAAAAACAAACAAATATTGCAATCGGAAGTAACTGGGCCGTCAGGCCAGCGCTACACTGTTACCAAGCAACCAGGTGATTCCTCTAAAGAGCCTCTCCATGGGAGATTCCCTCGTTTGTGTGAGGGCATTCACAAGCTGTGTGTGTGTGTGTGTGTGTGTGTGTGTGTGTGTGTGTGTGTGTGTGTGTGTTTTTAAGTGTATCTAGTAAGTTAGTGCTGACACAGTGAGCATACAATGTTCAGGGATTCAACCATGGTAACAGCCCAGCAGGCTACAGATGAGTTTAGTTCATGGCAATTGTAGTTGTTGTTTTTTTTTCTCTTGGTGTACGTTTTTATTTATTCAGCAATTATGTATTTATATTTTATAGAGAACACAGTGCTGATGGTGGCAAATATCCACATACATGCAGGCAGCAGAGGAACACACACGCGCACACATAGGCACTCACACATGGAGTCATAAGCAGTGGAAAATATTAAATTTGGACAAGCCTTGACAAATCCCTGAGGTGTTGCTGACGTTTATGCATGCTTCGGAGTATTCATAGCTGCTCACACACACTAGGGCGCTGATAACTATACACATACACACACTCACACCTTCACGACTACAGCAGAAGTGGAGAGCGGTTGAGAAAGAGAGTGAGAGACAGGTAGACGAATGAGTGGTGAGACAGTGAAGACAGAAGCAGAGCGTGTTTCGGGGGGAGTGACTACTTCTACTGTATAAACGGAGGCCAGTAACAATGCTACTGACAGGCGACTGTAACCCTGGAGATTCATTAGGGCTTGTCACTATGGAAACCTCCAATAAGGGAAAAATGTTAGCCATCTTTTCCTACAGCTAATGGGTCCAAGGAAATACCTGAGGTCTTCCAAACACCCATACACCCATTCACTCACACACACACACACACACTCACGTGGAAATGCACAATACTAACCTTCTTCTCGTCTCCCTTGTTTTTAAACTTAAGTAAACATCTGGGTGCTAGGAGCCTTGTAGGTACAACAGCTTTGAGAAAGCACAGAGCTGAAACACAAACAGACAATTTCTCTCTCACATTATAAACAGAAACACACTCATACACGTACACACGTTTGCAGTGCTTCACGTGCACTCCTGGCAGTGAAGGATATGGGTGGCAGACAGCTCGAAGGCACCAGGAGCGGGGTGGGCTGTTTTGGGTCAGAACCAAAAGTACCACTGGTGCTAGAGATGGGTACGGCAGCTCCTCCTTTTCCTCTTCCTCCTCCTCTTCCTCCCCGTCCTGCTCCCTCTCCTCTCCCTCAACTGACACATGCACCTTCTCCCCCTCCTCCTCCTCATCCTCTTTCTTCTGTGTTGGTCCTCCGTGCTGCTCATACACGTCTGGCTCTTGGGTGCCCGTCATGGCCGTGCTGTGAACAGCCTGTACCTAAAAGAGGGTGCAGGGGCACCGGCAGACTGTTCAGGACACAACAACATATAAATGCACACATGTGTGTGTCTGTGTGTGCGACTGACACTGTATAGCTCCCCAAAACAAACCAGAACTGCGCTGACTGTCAAGCCTGCCATCCCGTCCACGAGACCCTTTACCCTCTAGAAAAGCAGCAGAGAAAAAAACCCTTGTCTGTTTTTCTCTGAAACAATAAGTGACCTTCAGGAGACGAATCATAGCCAGAAAGCAGTCCTGTGCAGGAAACATAAATCTACATAAATCTAAACAGAATGAACTAATAGAAGCCAGCAAAGGTGCAAACACTGATTCAGTGCAGACGACAGGAAGCACTTAGTCCCCTTCAATATAATCCCACAGCTGTACAGCAGTAATGACAACAGGGCATTACTGTTGATGTTTTTAATCCAGACTGGCTTTAAACAATCTGGAGTTGCAGGGAGAAAGTAGCTTAGACGGCTTTTTCATATTGGTATGAAAAGAATAAAGTCTGGGGTTGGCTAGTGATATTGTCAGTTCTTCAGTTTCTTTTTCTTTTACAATAAATTTCCACTCACGATGGTTTATCGAGATAAAATATCTCATGAAACACAGTGACATTGTCGAGCTACAACAGACTGTGATAAATTTTTATAAGTACTGACTGGAATTTCTTGAAGCATTAGAAAATAATGTAGGAAATGTCAGATTGAATGATAATCTCTGTTTAAATTAAGAGCACGATCACAAGAGCGGATTCCTTTCTTTGGCTTCAGATATCATGTATTAATTTCATCACATTTTCTGCTTTATTTGGGCAGTATGCAGTGGACTTTGGCAGGAAAAGGGCATGTGACAGTCCACATTGTCATGAGTACACAGCAAACGCTTCCCACTAGCCCACCGTGTGCTCATTCCACTGCTTATTGATCCCCACAGATGTAGGCAAATTTATTCCAAGCCTACCAATTTGCTATTAGGTTGGAGCAAGATTATTTGGAAAACTAACATAAAGAAGATTCAGGACAATAGGAGCATGGGCCAACCAGGAGTCCATGCAGGCATATATACTCTGTTTATAGAGTGAAAGGACAAGCATGTGTATCTGTGTGTGTTTGATGAAAATAATGAGATTGAATCTGCCAGCTTCTTTCCTGTGTGTTTTCATTATGGGCACATAGCCTAGACTGTATCCAGGGCCGCACAGTTTAAGGCTTTTTGTTGTGATTCAATGGTAGCTGTTGGGCAGACATCAATTAACAATTGAAAAAAGAAAGAAAGCCATTCTTCTGCACAGTTAAAAACCTGCTGATGAGTTCTTTCAAAACACTTTTAAAAACCTCAATATGAGCTTCCTTTGCTAACAGCTAGGTCATGTGGAAATTAAATCCTCCTATTGAATCTCAACCAGTCACCAGAACAATATATATTCATACCTCTGTAAGACCTCTGAAAACCACTAAGTTTTATATTCACACTCATTCGCACTCATTACAAATGCATAAACTGCACAAAATCTTACAATAGCGTCACGCTCAATAGAACCAGAGCAAAATCTCCATAAACATTTTCTTCTTACTCTTGATGTTATAGCCTACAATGATATAGGCCTACATCCTTTTGAAGGCCGACCCTTATCACATACCGACGACATCTATGAGGCAACAGCATTTCCAGCATTACTCTGGTTCGGGTGAAGCAAACAATAAACAGTCTAATTAATCATAATAAACTGTAGAATGATATGAAACCAATCACCTTAATATAAGTCTCAACATTTTTGTCATATTATATGATGTAAAAATACATAAAGTAAGATATGGCCAATAACTTCTCATACAGTAAGCTGCTACAGGCAATTTCTAACTGCATGAGAATATCATTTAATTTCACATTAAACACCGCCATTGGCAAGGAGCGACATCACAGGACCTGGACATTTTCTATTGTGCCCCGGACATTCACCCACGGCAGTGCCCGGGACAGGAGAGCAAAGAAAAAGTATATAAAGGCACAAAAACCAAAAACTTTGTCTGCCGTCCTTACCGGGGAGCGGCGTCCATCCACCAACGTCATTCACTCCGGGTCCGCCGTGCGCCCTAAGCTCCAGGAGCCCTGGTGCTCCATCTGAGAGCAGCCCGCTGGTCCTCTGCCTCCTCCTCCCCTGCCGATATCCAAACTCAGTCTGTCAGTGGTGAGGATGAAAAAAAGAAGAAAATATTAAGGGGGGAATATGACGCAGAAGTTTTAATAACAAAAGTAAAAGTTAAATAGGACCAAGCGACTCTCTGTGCGTCTGCGTCCCCTCAACCGCTGGACACGCTCTGCGGTGTCAGGTACCGGAGTTCAGGCGCACCACGGAGAGGGAGAGCCGCGTCAAGCCAGCCGGAGAGAGGCAGACCGGAGGTACTCGGATTTTAACTTCAAAATAAGACTAGTCCCGGAAACTACACTCTACATTAAACCACCTGCTTGAGAAATACAACTATTTTAGTCAAAATATCGGTTAAAAAAGACGTTAGTCACATATTGGATAGCCTATACGTGTAGCATAATTAGCCTACAACAGGTGAGTTTCTGGCTAGTTTTAGTGTCAACAAAATCATTGTTGAATAATATGGTTAATATTCTTTCTTCAGGCTTTTGCCTCAGCTTTCATTTAGTTAGTGTAGATTAGCCTACAAAACATAGTAATTTAGCTAAGTCATTCAGAGTGGGAATAAAATCTGCCCTTTTTTCCTTGGAAAAATGGCTGCCACTAACAAAACAGTTAGGGCTGGTGGTTAGTTGGTTAGCTGCTACTACGCTAAGCTAAATGTGCAATGCAGTGTCTACCATCAATAACCAACTAGGCCTATTTGTCAGGTAATTTCACAAATTTCATTTTGAGTGTTTGATTTGATTGCTGATTGTTACCTCTTGTATTGTCCCCATATCTTCCATCCAGCATGGCACTGCCTCATCATACAGATTAATGGTGTGTGAAACTGAAAAAATAACAACAATAACAATCATATTGCCTTATGATTGTTATTTTGTGTATTTTCTCCAATAACAGTTTTATTTTGAAAGTTTTGACTCCATAACTTTAAGCTTAATACTGGTAAACTTGACACTGATGGAGAAAGTCAGAGCATGTGACTTGTCATCTCTCCTCCGCCTCACAGTACACCTCATCCCAATATCCCTCTTTCTGCCTTTGCCTGGCGGTTGTCTCACCAGCCAGCGACCCTGGACTCTGTGTGTGTGCGTGTGTGTGTGTGTGTGTGTGTGTGTGTGTGTGTGTGTGTAGGTGGGTGAAGGAGGCTGCTGTCATATAAAAAGATGATGTTCCACAGTCACACTCAGCAGGGATGTTGATTTTCTAAACCCAACGGTGTGTCAGAGCTCAATACTCTGAATTCAGTTTATGACATGACAGGTTTCAGAGAACATGGAATTATTATTGACCCATCCCCTACTGTAGGTTACTTCATAAAACAACATTTTCATAACATTGGTGAGAGACTTATCCAGATCCTTTACTTAAGTTAAAGTAGCAATACCATAATGTAAACATACTCTATTACAAAGTTAAAGTCCTGCATTCAAGATTTTACTAAATGTGCAAAGGTTTTAAGCATCAAAAGTACTCATACAGAACAGACCCATTCACAAAGTTTTATATAGGTTACATGTTTAGGACCTGAGCACAAAATGTGTAACAACCCTACTGAAATTTCTTTTTTGTGTGTGTTTCCATTTTCAACAGCCTAAGGTGCCCGAGAACTCACGAAACTTTGTACACATATCAGAAGTAGTGAAACTTTAAGTGTGATAAGGGTCTCCCTCATAGGTGTGACAAAATTGCTTACTAGGGCTCCCTACAGAGCAGCCGCCACGACTCGTTTCATCAAGATGTATGACATTTTTGGAGCAGATGTAGCATAAAAATACCTTTTGTAGTGATTAAATCCAACAGGAAGTTGGCCATTTGAATTAATTGGCCATTTTTGGCGATTTACAGCGTCCATACTTTAATGAACTTCTCCTAGACAATTAATTGGATAGACTTAAAATTTTCTCAGTGCAATCAGAACACATTGATGATGAAAAGTTGAGCTGACTGTGAGTTTTCGTTGAAGTGCGCATCCATGGCGTGGCGTCGAATATCAGCGTTTCACCATAACAGCAACAACAACGACTGGCAACAGGAAATGACCAGTTTTATGCTGTGATGTCCTACTGCTAACAGGTAGACCACATCCCTTTCATATGTGGCCAGAAAAGCCTTAAGACTTTGTTGATGCTATATTGCGAAGTGTGCTTTCATCACACGCTGTTGCCGTGGCAACCCATTATTCACCATGAAAAGGGAATTTGTTGTAACTTGAGGGTATATTGTCCAATCTGCCCAAAGTTCACATGTTTGATAACACTCTCAGCCTGAACACATGCCAATAAGGAGTTATAGTTATTGCGCCACCTACTGGCAACAGGAAGTAAACATTGTGTGACAATCATTATTTGACGTAGGCCTACATTCAATTTTCGTGTGGCCCACATTTGATATACTGTGACGTTATGTGTAATTAGCGGGCGTTCCATAGTACCACATAGCAGACACCGGAAGTGACATTTAAGTCCTTCTTGCAGAGTCGCAAATGCATTCCAAGGGGGTAAGCAGTTGAAACAGTGAAGCCGACCAAAGCCTGCACGGACGGTTCTATGTAGGACCAAAAATGATGTCAAAACCCTGTGACATCCCGTCGCACACGAGAGATGTAACCGTATTGCTTAGATTATAAACTTTCAGTGAATCTAAAACAATGATCAGTGACGCTGCGTTGGTGTTTGGCAGGTGAGCCTCGTAGGTGGGCTGATTAATCTGTGACGATCCGAGTCAGTCAAACACACTGAGTCATGAAACTTTATGTTGGCGCAGCTATGCAGCTACCAGAATTACGGTGTTTCTGCCGTTGCTTTACGTGATTAAACCACGGTTATTCTGCGCGATCATGCGTAGTAGACACTGGTGCCAACAGGAAGTAACCCTGTAGTAGTATTTTATTGGTCCAAAACTGGCTTCACTGCTCTCCATTCAAATCAGCGGGGTGGCTTCGTCCAGTAATATACTGTCTATGGATAATTCAGAGCCACGTCGGACGACCTCCGTCAACTTCACCACGGGACACCCCAACATGCCTGAAAAAGTGAGGGCTGTTTATCTGTGCTTGCAGCTTTCATATGGTTTATTATCACTGGTGCATTTACTTGTAATCAATTTAATGCCATATAGCTGGTCAAGGTGGATTATAATATTTTATAAGCTGATCATATGTTCTGAAATTTAGAAGGAAAATGTAAAATTTCTCCTTATAAACTCCTTATATTACTCCTGGAGAATTTGTTTATCATTTACCTTCAGTTAATTTATATCCATATAAGAAATAACGTGCTTCTTAAGAACCCTGATCAAAGAAAGGATATGTATATTTTACAGGTGATACCAACAAGGCGGAGAGTAAAAAAGGCAGAACAGGCATCCATAGCATCTTAAATTAGTGCTGAAACTCTACTATGGCTCATTTTTCTGGGGGCTCCATCCAATTCCCTAAAGGCCCCCTGGCAGTCCCTGGATCCCACTTTAGGAATTAATATTAGAGGCTACAGCAGGTCTGAGCAAACAGCTTACAGGGAGCACTAGTCTTAAATACTCTCCTGCTAATTTTTTAATATGTACATGTAGCCTCCAAATAATTTTCTGGGGATGTTTTGTTTGATGTTTACACTCCATTAGACAGAAACCATAAGTCCCACAGAAGTAGCTTTGAGAGGCTATAATGCTCATTACACGCTGGAAAGCAAATTTGGATGAATAAAAATAGACAGACAACTTTGCTATTCTTAGATCCGTCTAGCGGGGCAAAAAAATTAAATTTGCTGCACTGGAGGAAAAACCATCTTGTTACGTAAATCAAAAGGGTTTCTCCTCTGTGCTGTGGCCATTTTCGGACATCTTAGACTCAGCTTGCCAGACTCAGTTCTACATTGTCAAAGTGTTACATTCGTTATTTATCACGTTAACATGCTCACAGTCAGCGTGTTTAGTAGTTAGTCTAAGTAATATTTAGAACTTATTATATTATAATATTTAGCTTATTAGCATGAAATTATCTCAGCTTGTAAGTTTAAGCATGTAAGCTATTTAACTGGCTAATATATAGCATAATAGCCTGCTAATTCTAGCATACCACAGGAGCCTTTCTCAGCCTTGAAACTCTGATTCACAGAAACAGGAATAAGCAGAGACAAGGGAAAAACACTGGCTTAGATAGTGTAACAGCAAAGAAGGTCAGCAGTAGATATAAATATAATTAGTAGCCTTAAATAGGTAAAATCAATTTTTACCACCACAGTTAGCATGCATTGTAAGCATTCATCATAATACACAACTAAGGCTTTTGGGAATATGGCCATTAGTTTGCAGCACACAGGTAATATTATTAAAAACCTGAATAAATGAGTGGAGAAACATCAAACATCAAATGCAGTTGCATACAGGGCACAAAGGACTAACATTTTGGACCTTGCCCTCCACCACCTTCATTAAAACACAAAATGAGGGACTATCTTTTAGAAGAATGGTGTTCATTCCACCAGTAGGATTTCAGAGCTGTGTACATCTGCCAAAACACATTTCTGATCTTCTGCTACGAATCCAGACCTCTCGGGTCGTCTGGGACGGCTCTGCTTTCTGTCCCCAGAGTCAAAACTAAACATGGAGAAGCAGCTTTCAGTTTTTCTGCACAATGTGTCCGGAACAAACTCCCAGAAAACTGCGGGGGGAAAAGTTAGGCTTTTGATTTTTATCTTATACAGCACAGTAACATTTGTTCTCCTCTTTTATCTTGTTTTTCTTGTGTTATTTGAATGTCGTTTTATATTGCCTTTTACATTGCTTTCATGTTTTACGTGAAGCACTTTGAATTGCCTTGTTGTTCAAATGTGCTATGCAAATAAACATGCCTTGCCTTACTTCTAAACCAAGGTCTTTCTTTTTGTACATCTCTGCCGAGGAGCATCCAAGATGTTTTTGAGATCATAACACCTTGCTAAGACACTGTCAAGGTTCAAGGTTCATTAATTTGTTGTTTAACAACACAGTTGTTGCACAATGAAATCATGCATGTGTAGCACAAAATGTGAATGTGAAACTCTACTGGTTTTATGAACACTATTCTTCCAAACCAAACGCACTTCATGTTTGTTGTAAATTGTCATCCATTTGTCTCTTGTTATGGGCTGAAGCGGACAAGTGGAAATTGTTATCTGTTAATGGTGCTAGATATGAAGTGAGGGCGTCACCTAAGTCAATCTGATTCATC